TAAAAAGTCTATTGTAGTTAGCTAAAATGTATCCAGATGTTAGTTTAGTTTTAGTCAACTATAATAATCTTCTTTACTGGATATTATTTAAGTAAAAAATGGTTATGGGATTATGTTGTGAGGATGGGAAAGGAAAAGCACTGTTTGACTAAAAGCAATAGCTTTAGTCAGACAGTCTCTCTGTATCGAGCACTAAACATTACAAGCCCACCAGTTCCTCTATAATTAATGTTGCAGGAGTCCTTCCGCTTTTATTGGTTTTGCTTGCAAATGTTCATCTAATTCATGTTAGAGCACAGGAGAAACATGTGGTCTGAATTTTGACTACAGGCTTTGGGATAAACAAGACAACGCAGCACCTCAGCTGTTTGTTGTCAGCTTATTTACCAGAAAAACAATATACTGACAAATCTTAAACTTTTAGTGCCAGCATTAGCTTTTTGTACAGTATACGACAAACACCACAGTTCTTCTTGCCTAAACGTTGCCAGTGAAACACAGTGAGACCGCTTTGCACCCACCTCCCACAGTCAAAGGTAGTCACTGCTTTCTTCTCTAAACAGTCTTTCAGACTTTCAAATTAAAACAACCAAACTATCTGCTCTTACGAAGAAATTTGAGCATTTTCACTGTGCCTTTTTATCAAATAATTAAAAAGAGAAAACAGCAAGAAGTCAGGAATCTACTGAACTGTTTCCTTTTTGTTTCTTTCTCCTACTTGATACTGCATATGAGCGTGTTCTGGCTTTTAAAAAGTACAGATTAATGAAAACACAAACTCGGGTTGATTGTTCACTGTGTAGCAAGCGAGCAGCATGAACAAATGTAATAAACAGACCAATGTTTGACTTTGAAAACTGACACGTTAAAGTGGGAATCCTTTCAGTCATGTCGATTTGGTGACACCTGGTGGTATCAGACAATGTTTGAGCTCACAGATTTTGATGGTGAGGACGACTAAAACCAAAATATCTTTATCTTATTTAAAAATAACAACACAATCAGCCTGTTCCCATCAATTTGTGAATAACTCTGATCTGTTTTTATGTCTCCTATGGTATCAGTTGGTAAACAGCAGAGAATATTGACAGGAGTTGGTCATCTCTCTGAGGAATTTGTTTCCTTCCTGCCGAGTGAAGCTCTTCGTTCATTTTAATCGTTTCCACAGTGGAAAAAATGCAGAAAATGAGCATCAGCTCGTCCTGATGAACGATAGCAGTAAGTGCTAAGCTTACTGACCCATACACTGCATTTCCTGTGAGTATGTTACAGTAAGGGTCAACTCATATTTCACAAATTAAATTATTTTCATGTGAATCTGCAGCAGCAGGAAACCTAAAGCTTCACCACTACTTTTTCACATCATAGGTTGTGTTCTCACCCGCTGCACCACAACCACACTTCCTGTCCCAGATCTTTGTCATGCCCATGTTCTTATAAATAATCAGGATTTCACCATCAGTAATGTAGCAGCTGTCATCAGGTTTCTTTTAACTATGTTGTGAACAGAAGGTAGTTACAGCTTGTTTTAGATCCTCCCTGCGATTGTAGTAACTACCGTGTTCTCCAGTCTTTGCTTGAAACATGCGTTCAGATTCACTTGAGGCATTTTCAGCACAGCACAGCACAAAAAAAGGGTTTGAAAATTAACAGAGGCACTTGTAAACTTTTAAAGTTTACCTACAAAGGATGACTCCCATGTGACATTTCGGCCAATGGGTCCACATAAAAGTCCTCATAAAAGGAGCAGAAGAGTGGCGCAGCAGCAGTGAAAAGAAACAATACAACAATGGTAGTTTCTCAGGTGGAGTGCTGTAAAATTAAAGGGACCACATACCCCAACGTCATCGTCGCTCTGTATAAGCTGCGAGTGCCCAAACAGGCGCCTCTTCAACATGGGCTCCAGGAGAGTCAGGTAGACCATGTAGAGCAGCAGCAGACCCAAAATGGACAGGTACATTATGATGGTAAACTGAAAATAAGAAACAATTACTGTGGGATTGCTCGTTTCCTAGTTTAGAAAAAAAATAAAAGTCACTGAAACAATCAGGTGTCCTCTAAGCTGAACAATAATCCATTAAGTCACACACAGCCTGAGTCACATGATAGGCTGGCTGTTTTTCATTTTTGCATTTTGCTTTAGACAAAAGAGAGGCGTCACAATAAAAGGACAATAAGACTATAAAACTAAAACTCAATCATTAGATACAGCCCTGCATCACAGCAAAGAAAAAACAACCACGACTCTTTGATCTAACTTGAACTTACCTTAATGGTCCCCGAGCTCCTCTCTTCATATTTACACTCACAGCGTAAACAGTACGCCTCCACATCTTTCCCGTCCACTGGCATGGGATCAACCACGTGGAGACAGTTGCTGACGAAACATTAAAATTAACAAGCTTTCAGCTTTTCAGCTAAACAGACCAAGGACAACTTGCATCACACAGCAACGGATTTGTTAGCATACCAGTCCTTAAGAGAGACATTTTGTTTGTAGATTTGACCCTCGACTTCTCGGTACGGCGGACAGATGCATTTACAGCGGATGTCCTCTGAATTCTGCAACAGAGACAGCAAATGTTTATTATTTTTTTGTTTGTCAAACACATTTGCACACTATATGGTACACAAAAGCCTACACATTTCATTATTATGCAAATCCTCCCAAAATAAACTTAGAGGATTTTTAAGCCCAATAGTTATATTTGTTCATTTAATAATCTGACATTCTGATATATCGGATGATTTCCTTTTCTTTCAGACAAAGAAAAAATAAACAGATTCATTAACATTTTTTCGTGTGGTTATTTATTTACTCGTTTACATTCTGCCCAGCTCTGCTCAGATTAGCTGATTGTTGTGTTTGTGCTGTTTCAATCAGTGTTGCCAACAGGGAAGATGTTTAGTGCCCCCTGATGGACAGACTATACATCATCAACACCCATAACATGGCAGAAGGATGTTGCTTGTCTTTTTTTTATTTTTTAAATTTTCATTTAATAACAGCTTCTATCAGCCATCAAATTAGTAAAACCAGGAGTGTGTTCGTTAGGATTGATCTGTTGAAAAATGAAAAGTAAACCTGAGTAAATGATGACCGAGTGGACGATGCTGAATAAAATGCCGCGATGCTGTTTTTAAGATAGATGGATTCAAATGGAGAGCCTGCATTGAAGCAATTAAACTCTGGGGTGAACAAACTCAGGCAGTTGACCTCTGGCTTTCTCGAACTCAAGAGTTGCCCGTGTGAGAGGTAATCAACTTAGACTTTATGGTCAGACACAGTTTTTTGAACCTGCTTTCTCAACTATAACACTGGTTATTATAGTTATGTCGATACAGGCTACAGACGTCACACGCATTCAGTACAATCACGTGACAATACCTGCATCTTTTGTTTTTACTCACTTTCTTTTAGATGGGGTGTCATTATTTTATTTAGATATTTAACTCCTTCACTTTTCTCTATTTAACTGTGCTCCTACTTTACTGACCCCTTTTGTCCTGTCGTAATGTATTTTATCCAGCTTTTGTTTAATGTTTTGGCCGCTGTTAACACAGGAACTTGCCAACTTCGGGATAAATAGCCTCTTTTTTCTGTTCTACATCCTCACCATCAAGCAGCAAACATAGCAGCCACATTCGCGCATTAGTTAACTTTTCTGACATCCAGCTGTCAAACCCACAGCGACAAGTCATCGTTTAGAGGAGATTTAAAGAAAAGCCATTTCATTTCATCCAGCCATCATCACCATTTCCTCCACATAGCTAGCTAAGTGTGCTAACGTCAGCCTTACCTTCGCTGTCACTTGGCTCAGCAGCACAAAACAAGCCAGGAGTAGAGCCTCGAGAAAAAACACCCACTTCATGTTTACAGGAGTGCAGCTCGTTAACAACACAGGTCCAAATGTTTCCACGAACAGCTCCAGCGGTGTGAAGCAAACCCTAACAACTGACGAGATTAGCCATCAAGCTAACTAAACAGCAACAATCGTCAGCTTCCTAGCAGCTGACTTGTAATTTCCGGAAATGGCGGTTGTCTTCCGCACACAGTACTGAGCGGGCCGTGCTTGGTTAATGGCATAATAAACGATGTCCGGCGGGCGGGACATTTCAGATAATGCCAATTAGCTGCTTGTCTGTCGCCCATCAAAGGTTGTTCGAAATATTATCCAACATTTAAACAGTTACTTTCAATTAATTGGGTTATATTTCTACAAAAAAACAACCCAAAAAAACAAACAAAAAAACAAACAATAAAAGTAAACTGAACCGCTAAGGACGTGAAAATAAATCGAACGCACCCTTCGGTTAGACACGCTGGTAAACAGCAGGTGTATCAAACTCTGGTCCGGGGAACACCAGGCGGGTCATTCTTCTTGGAAGACAATTATTATATTATCATTGTAGAGTCTTTACCGTACATTCTAAAGTGCATTGTGTTTTGGCGCTATATACATAAAAATCTCAACTCAATTAAAACGCTAAGATAAATAAACAAATCGACCATTTATTTTTATAATTTCTTTATAATTATCTTTTTTTTTTTAGCATTTACACTTGTGCTCAAGAACTATTTTGCATTATAAATATTTTCGAACCACTTTTTTCATATAGATTCTTTTCAAATTCACGGGGTTGATAGAAAATGTCCTGCAACTGTAAAATGGCCTTTATAACGATGGAAGATTGTTGTTGTTTTTTCAGTGATGAAACATCTTTTATTATCCAAGATAAATCCAAATTATGTGCAACCTTGTTACTCTAATTACTCTAGTTTATCCCTGTCTCCATATCATTTTTGATTAAAAAAAAAAAAAAAAAAAAAAAAAAAAAATCATGTTTTTTTCTTGCAAGCATTTTATCTCAAAAGTTCTACCTACTAACTCAATAATAATAATAATACTTAATAAAGACCAACTTTATTATTCCTCTGGAGGTGTTAAACATATACAAACACATGAACTTGTACAAAAATAAGAAAAAGTGGTTGAAAGTGGTGGAAATCAGTTTCCAATCTTTATTTACAGCACATTCGATGTACAAAATCATAAAAAATATACATACTTGTTTCATCTAGGAGAGGTAAATATAGTTTACTTCTATTTTACAGAACTTTTCATGTATTCATGGCATCACAAATTGTTCCGTTTCTCTGCAGAGTAATTCGTTGTCTTTGGTTGCTAGTGACCTAGCTGAAGCAGTCATTGTCTTGTGACTAGTTTTGGAAAGGAAAAAGTATTTTTTAAAGAACAGCAGTGCTCATCCAGACACCTTAGAAGACCAAATACGTGAGCCAACAGCAAACGCAGCCATGCTATACCATTAAAGTGTATGTAGCTGCTACAAAACATTAGCGTTTCACCTAAAACTTTTTACATCATATACAAGACATTCATCAGAATAATTGCTTTTGTGGCAGGGCTACTTCTTTTGCAGTGCTAATTTCCCCAAGAAAACTTGTGTGCGCTATTTGTTCCTGACATTTTTGCAGTATTTCTGTCAGTATTTCATGCCTACCTGTGCAGGCCATGTTAAAAAACTAAATGTTAAACCTAAACCTATATACAGTGTTACTGACATTCAGCATATATCTGTTCGTCTATCATATTTGTTTTTCATCCAAATGCAATTAAAGAGTCCCATAATGCCGCCATGTATAGTATTTCTCAACATTCAAATACCCAATTTGGACTTGGAATTTAAATCCCAACTTTAAAATTTAAAGGGCCGTATAATGTCGTTCATCTGCTGTTAGAAGTATTTTCCAAATGAGATCTCCTAATTCCTCTCCGAGGAAACCCATATAGATCTGTGGTTTGTACCACTTCCTCAGTTAAAAATTTCACTTTTCCATTGGGATCGTTTCATCAGGTGCGGTCCTCTTGTCCAACACGTAATGTTAGAATGCACAGGGGTCAATTGATAAAACACATAAGAGGGTCCAGTTTCTAATTTAAGCTTATTATGAAAAATCCTGGAACTTTGTGGCAACTTTTTTTTTCTTTAAGGACGAAGGAACCTCAGGACTTTGGACCGCAGGAAACGAATGAAGGATTTGGGGAACATTTCTCTCGATTCTTGCGCTGTATAATTGAAGAAGTTTTGTGGGTGAGCCAGCACGTCAAACAGTGCCTTCATGAGCTTCTTGTCCTGAGGGGATGAAAAAAAAAAGAAATGTGTTATCCAAAAGAATTCCTTACAGTATGTAGTCTAAGGAGCTTGGAAAGAAAAACGTCTGGACTTCTTCAAGTTGCTTGAAGACGTTTCACCTCTCATCCGAGAAGTTTCTTCAGTTCTAGGGTCAAATGGTGAAGAGTCCCAGATTTAAACCCAGTGGGAGTTTCCCCCCAAAGAGGGACAGAAGGACCCCCTGATGATCCTCTACCTAATCACATGAGCCAAGGTGTGAAAACGGGTGTGGGTTACAATCAGCCAGGGTTTCGGGTGAGCTCATTGTGAAACCTGGCCCCACCCTATCACGTGATTTCCTGAGGTCAGATGGCCCAGGATGTGAGTGGGCGTTAAGGTGTCTGGGAAAGGATCTCAAAACTGGATTATAGATGGCAGACAGTTGGTGTCGTAAACCACCACCTCTGTTCAAAGATGGTCGCTCACAGTGGACATAGATGGCTTCTTTCACTCCTCTTTCAAACCATCTGTCCTCTCTGTCCAAAATGCCAATGTTCACATTTTGGACGTGATTAGGTAGAGGATCATCAGGGGATCTTTTGTCCCTCTTTGGGGGGAAACTCCCACTGGGTTTAAATCTGGGACTCTCCACTATTTGACCCTTAGAACTGAAGAAGCTTCTCGGATGAGAGGTGAAAAGTCTTCAAGCAACTTAAAGAAGTCCAGACGCTTTTCTTTCCAAGCTCCTTAGACTACGATGACCTGGATGACTGAGAACCTTCACAGACTTACAGTATGTAATTTTTACCGATAGGAAACCACAGTGACACAGGCGTCCCTTTACACACACAGAGGGAAGTTCCTATTAAAGTTTCAACACTTACTCTCTCACAGTTTTCTTGACAATAAAATGGGTCTGGGCTCTTATGGGTTAATGTGAGTGATACTCTGTATTTCTACTTGTTCCCAAAAGAGGGTGCTACATGGTCACTGGAGCCAAACCACTAACACAGTGAGGACTCAAAACTGGCCAGCTGATCTTTGTCAAATAAAGTCTAAATGGTCAGCTGAAGATAGCCCATGAGACAAAACAGCTAAAACTCTTAATGAGCAGGTTAAATAAGTCAGGAATGCAATGCTTTAAAAGATGAAAGTAATGGATAAATGTAAATATATACAGCTTACACGAATGGTTTTAGGTATTTTAGACCTACTCAGGCTGGAGACCAAAGTGCTCCCTGTTAAACATTTGTATAATATACCTGATACCTTAAGTATTTCCTGGTGATGCTCTGAAGCATATAATCTTCCATCTCTGACGATGTCTTCTATCAACTCCTGGTAGTCCTCTGAAACAAATAACGTTCAGAAATAGCTTAGTAAGAAAAAACAAACTAGATTTAAACAATATTCAGAGGTATCATCGGTTTATTCTTTCTCAATTCATCAAATTTAAAAGGGATTGTTCAAAAAACAAACAAACAATAAAAAAAATGTAGAACCCTACAGAAGATTTAATGGAAACCACAGTTTCTACAGGTAGGGGCAGATTTTTTTTTTCTCTTAAACAAATGAGGCACACAGTATTCGTTACACCCCCCCCCCAAAAAAAAAAAAAAAAAAAAAACAACGGACAAAAACCCACAGACTTTTCCAAGTTGTCTCTGATAATCCTCAGGGAGGACGCATGTACCAATTTCAAATAACTATGGGTCGTAATGGCACCCAGCACACATAGTCTCTTCTGGGCCATTAAAAGGCCAGGCCACAAGGCTGCATGAATGAAATAAAAACACTTTCTTCTTCTGAAAGATAAATGCTGAGTGAAAATGAGGATTTCAATAATTTATATTGGAAAAATGAGAGACACAATATAGTGTGCGCTGGTTTGGTGGGACCAGGTTGTGAACTTACATGGAATTACAGTACTAATCTTATTTCCAAGACAAACCATCTCACCATCATACGTCACATATGGAACCTGGAAGCCTTTGCCGCTGTTTCCCTCATTGGACCTGAACTGTATCCAAAGCCTCTTGGAGCGGGAGGTGAAGGCGATGGGACGTTCGTACGTCTGACACGTCTCGTAGGTTGTCACAGAGTTGGGGAGAGCTGTGAGGAAAAAAGCACAGAGGAGAGGCCTTAATACGTAACTACTGATGAATATGAAAACCACTCTTATGACATTAAGAGATGTTTTTCTACCACTGTGCTGATTCATCCTGCTCTGCACACACAGACTATATTGTAAGCGGACACTTGTTTTCATAACTTCTGAGGATTATAGCGTCTTAAAAAAGGGATCATAATCGTAACTTGAGCCCAAACCAAAGCAAATCCAACCTAAAACCCCTTTGTTATATTTTATTTGTTAGTTAAATGGCACAAACACAGTGGAACTCACAGCTTTTTCTCATCACCAAGTAGTCTCCACATTCATCCTCAATAGGCAGGTAGATTTCAGGGACAACAATAAGGATCCTGCGTTTGGGGGGAGGGTTAATGATCCAAGTGCACTCGATATTCGCAGGATAGTTTCCCGGGTAGTTGGGAGATTCGATGTAACCTGTAAAATCCCCGAGCTCTCCTCCACATCGTCGGTCTGTAAGTGACACAAAAATTAAAAATATCTGAAATGGAATCCTAATATTGGAAACTGAAACCCCGCCCCACCCCCTGCAGATATACATACTTTTGCACTGCATGATGTTAGTGGAACCATCATAGTCGGTGGTGGTGTTTCCAGGGCAGGTGACACAGTAGTTCTGACCAAAATCCCCTTGATATGTGCCCATAGGGCAGCGAATGCAGCGGTGTGTGCTGGTGTTGTAGTAATGTCCTGGAGAGCACTGCACTGCAGGAGCAAAGGCCAGCGATAGAGAGCTGTTAGCTGATTTAGTGCCTCCAACATTCGGGGTACAAAAAAATCTTATCCTACATTATACCTGAAAAATCTTCAGTTAAAACGTTATACATAAAAAAAACAAAAGAACAAAAACACAACAACAACAACAAAAAACTCTGCGCTTGAGTTAGAACGGAAACTCTCTGTGCCTGGTAAAAACCATACAACAGCTGCAGAGGGCAGCAGAGTCCCTATCAACACCTGCAAATGCTACACAATGTTTTGAAGTCACAAAAAGAGTTAAAATCCCCAAAACAACAGATGGTTCACTTTATTTCACAAGTCTGGCAGGCTTTCATAAACGTTCTCGGCTCCAAAAGAACCATTTAAACCCTTTGTTTATATTAAAGCTAAACTAAAGCGAAAGCTAAAATAAACCAGGCAGAAGTTATTAGGTTTTATATCCAGTGACATAACTAAAATCTTTCATACCTTTGGTCTCACACTCCTGGAATGAGACAGCTGCGCTGCGCCGGGTGTCCAGGTCCCCTCCACAGGGGAAGCAGGAGGTGCGCCCCACCTCTGGTTGGTACGTTCCAGGTGGACAGAGCAGGCAGGGGATGAAGCCATCGTGGGAGTACTGACCAGGGGAACACTGACCTGAACACACACAAGCATTCACTCGGTCAAGCCACACTGTTAGAAGCAGGAAATGCTCTGTCCACTTAAAACAACAACAACAACAACTTTGCTCTACTTTTATTTAGCAAAACTTAAGAAAATACTAATGGAAAAATGCTGTGTTACATCTCCACCTCTCACTGCGTGTAACTCCTGGGTGACTAGTACAAAGTGGATGTGTGATAGCTCGTCTTGTTTAGTCTGTCAGGCGAGATGTGACTCTGATAACAGCACAGGAGGAGAACAAAACATGGTGGCTCCTTGAGCTTTTTATTCTGGACTGAAAGAAGTTAATTCATATTCAAGCGTCTTCAGATTTACACAAAGCAAAACAACTGCCAGCGAGATCTTTATCGAGGCACCACTGCTTCCTTTGTACCTTCACAACTTTAGATTTAATTTTCTGCGGCTGTTGCTTTTTTTTATTATTATTTATTTGATATAAATATCTATAAAATATAAATTTTTTAGTAGGTAGTTAAATAACAGTCTCTTTTTTCATTGTTTATTTATTTGTTTTTTAATTTGGTGCAGTAAGACTGGCCGTGAGAGGGGTCTGTGTCAGTAGGGAAAGCTGAAAAACATTTTTAAAAAATGCAGTTAAAAGTCTCAGATTCATCCCTTCCTTCACACTCTCCAAAGCTGCGCAGTGGGTCAGTCTTTGGCAGGCTGATTCTGGCCCCTGGGCTTTACGTTTGACAGGAAGTTGCTTGGCATTTACATGTCACCATAAAGTAAAAAAGAGAATTTACTATTGCTTCTGAAATCAGCTGGAAAGTGTAATTATTTGTGACCTGCTTCCTGAGCCCTAAAGGTGACTAGTTTTTGCACAAACCAGATTAATACTGGCTCAGGTGGTAGAGCAGGTCATCTACCAATCAGAAAGTCGGTGAAACAATCCTTGACTCCTCCTGCCTGCATGCTGAAGTATCCTTGGGTAACATACAGAATTGAGTGTGTGTGAATGTTAGAAAGTGCTTAGCTACAGATAAAAAGCACTGTATGGGTGATTGGGTGAGTTGATTTGACCATTTTAACTGCTTGTAAAATTAAAAATTAGCATTAACATTTGGCTGTAGGATCACTCAATCTGTGAAAACGTGGAAAACACCCATTTGTGAACCTGTCTTTAATTTGAAACTTGGCACCTGTAAAGTTTTGATAGCACATGATCAAAATCTGTCCACAGACAGACACCCAGAAATCTTCCAAAGCACTTAAAACAGCCCTCGTGGTAGGTTCCTGTCTTGTGACATCTCCAGGATTTCAACACATACAAAGTCAACACACAAAACATTAAATGTCAAGTTGCCTGCAGTAAAGTATGTTTAAAGGACACATCATAAAAAATTAAGACAAACCAGTTTATAATACAGTAAAACTATAAAATGTTATTGTTTTTTTTTTTTTTAAATGTTAAAATATGGTGTTTTACCTCCACACTCTGAAATGTTTCGAGCTCCCACCACTTTGGAGACTTCTCTTCCTTGAGGTGTAGGACACACCTCACAGGACATCTGTCCCTCCTCGTCCTGATATGTTCCAGCTGGACACGACAAACACCGTCCCTGATCGCCATCGTAGTAGGTCCCAACACCGCAGCTCACTAAGACACAGATGGAAAAGGACATCAAGAGAGATTAAAGTTTAGCCGTTCTGTGACATACTTGTAGCGAGACACTGTTGCATGCCCGTCTCTAGTGCACAAAAAGCAAATGTCGGCCTACAAAGTTTCTCCAAAGAGTTGCTAAGCATGTGCTAACAGTTTTATCTTTGTGCTATGCCAAGTTGAGGGGGAAAAGTCATATTTTTTAAATACTAAACACACAGAAATATTTTTCAGACAGTAATTCTGTGATATAGAGTCAATAACAAACAAATGTAACTGTTTGAGGATGATGGAACATTTCCGCAAAAACTAAAAACAAACACTTAAAGATAAGCCATCCAAAACAGACGTTAACGTTTGAACTTGTAATTAAAGTCAATTTAGTAGACAGATCAGGTCAGGTGGCGCTCATGGACAAATAACCACACCATAAGAGTGTGTGGGTAAAAAAGAACAATGCGATAAGCAGACATGAATCAACAAATATAGCAGATTGCCCCGTGGTTACACACAATCAAGCAGTCCTAACCACAGCGTAGATGTACACAATAAACACCGCAGCTACAGTGAATGATGAGACCATTAAAGAAACCCAGATCATAGCTGCCTCTCAAGTGTAATCAAAGAGGATCATGTAAATACTTGAACTGGATAAACACAGTAAAGAGCAGTGAGCGCCAGCTTTAAGAAGGCAGCTGAGCCCGAACAATTATCCATCTGTTGACAGCGTTTTCCTGCCATCTTAAAGGTTTCACTGAGCTCAGTGGTGCATTAGGCTGTACTGTTACAGACCATCTTTATATGGCACCACACAATCAGATGTGAACAACGCGCAGGTAACATATCAGGACTGCATCATGCAAAGTAGTGATGCTGTTGTGAAGCCTATATAAAGTTCTAGAGTCTTCAAATAGAAAACAGTAGAAGAGCATGTTCGTAAAATGTTTGTGAAATATGCCCACTGGATTCAAATGTCAGATTTGTGTCACTAAACAGAGTACGGCTTGATACTAACAAAGGATAACCTACATGATGCCTAAAGGAGAGATAAGTACATTTATCTTAGCTACAACTGTATGATAAGATGTCGCTATGAAAATGCTTATGCATTACATTAACACAGTGTAACTATTGCAGGTTTCAGGTTCAAGTCTCATTTTAACTGTGTCTTCTTGTAAACTTTTGCTTTTTAATTACATTCCCTTATTGTTGGTTATTCCCTTTAAGTCAACTTTTATTTGTCTGTTTAACATTTATCTTTATTGATCTGTTTTACATGATTGTTTTGCACTTTGTTCAGTGTTTGCTGTGCCTAAATGAGCTATACAAATAAACTGATCTGAAGTTATGAATTTTATTTGCTTTGGACTGCATGAAACACACACATAAAAAGTCCAAATGCCATTAAAGTACATTTGCAAACCAACCTAAAACAGCCATGCAAAAACAAAATCATGGGGACAAAAGAACAACAGCGTCTCCCAGTGCTGCCTTTACTGCATCCGCACCTACACCTGTCTTAATACTTGACACAACATGGCTGTGCATAAGAGAGGAACTTTAAATGCCAACGTAAGCACCCTCAGCTCTTTAAAAAGCAATCACAGTCGCAAATCAAAGGGAGAGCTTCCCTTTTATCGCATAAAAGCGCAAACACTTGATTAAAGGGGCTAAAACACTGTTTTGCTTTGGTTCCTCCCATTCAGACTGATGCCTGTAATTAATTTGGCAATTGCTGTGTCTGTCTGATAGCCGTAAGAACTTCACTTGAAAACTAAAGCTGAGCTCACACAAGAATAAATCAATTAAACTCCTGAGACTTTCGAGCAAAACGTGCCTCATATGTAGCCTTCAACCGGGCTGAAAGAAAAGAACCAATATCAGAGAGCGCTCGACACACAAAAGCTTTCACACAGATCCATTATACGTGGCTCTGTAGACTGTTAGGTTTTTGTTGGGAGAAAGAAAATGTAATTCTATCAAGAGCAGCTCATTTTTGAAGCCTTTTGTTTATTCTAAAAGACCACAAGGAGCCATCACTGCATTGTCCTCTAACAGCTTTTATTTGACAGAGGGAAGCTGTGAGGGAAGAGACAGAGTGAGAGTGAAAAAGAGGAAAAAAAAAAAAAAACTTGAAGCCTTTCAAATGCAAAGAACGGTTCTATAGAGTTCTCGAATTGATGGCCCCAAAGAGGTTTAAAAGACCTTTCACCTCTATTCAAGTCCCTGGTTTTTGCCTACTTGATGACATAGGAAAACACTATGGTATCACAGTAGTAAGGAGCTGAACCCAATAAAAGAGGTCAGGTTTCTGAATCCCCCCATTCTACGTGGTCCAATCACTGCTCGCGCCCATCAAGCAGGGGCCCAAACAGCTGATGCTAATTGATTCCCATGGTGTGGGTGAAGTCAATTCTCTTTAGCAGTTTAGTGGCTAGGGGTCATGCAAAGTGGCCCCCAGTTGGGGTGCAAGGGTAGTGGGGGGGACAGCACTTAAAGTGCCAGCTTGAATCAACAGCACTTCCTAAACATCTCCAACGTTAAAACAAACACACAAACAAGTTCACTGCGACACTCACATGGATGTGAGAACGTGTGGACTTGTGGTAGACACGTTCACATGAAGCTTCTTATAAAGTATGCTTTGGTTGTTTTCCTGCACATAAATAATGTAGAGTTGAAATAAATTTTAGACTCAAAATGATCATGTTATTAATAAGCTAACATCACAAGTTATTTAAACTGAACCAACGTCCCGGAATATAAACGTTACTTCAACCAATAACCCAAACACAGCACAGAGGAGGAGGAGCTGCCACGCTTTAAACTGTGCACAGTGTTTTCTTCAAATCCACAGAAGACTGTGTTCTTCTCAAGGAGAGAGAAAGAGCCTCAAATGGGGTTTTCAATGGAGTGGGCAAATTGAAAAGGACTAAACTGCACTCCAAACTAAGCCAGAGCAAAAGATGGGGGAGGAGGGAAAAATATAGCTCCTTTAAAGAGCTGGAGGTTAAGAAGAATGCCTTTCAGAGCCCCCCTCTCCTTTTTCCCTCCTCTCCCAAATTACATGTCTACACCCTTGCCACAACCAATAGACTGCCTAATGTTGACCTGAAAGCAAAGCGGGGGACGGAAGGAATAAAGACACTTAAGATGTGAAATAAATCATGTCAGGAAAGCTTAACAGCAGACGTAGCTTAAATGTTAATGATGAGACCAAAGAAAAAAAAATTACAGGGAGATGAATGGAAAGCAAAACTTATGACTTTCCCTCAACAGACATTATCTCATGAAACTACAGAGCGGCTATAGTTTGACACATGTTTTTGGCCATCAGCCATATTCCTGAGATCTGGGGATAAAGATCTGGGCCTACATTAAGTTAAAACATCCTCAACACTGACGCATATATTGAACAAAGCGCATACTGCCTGAATAAATATTTAGACATCACAATTTAGGAGGAAAGGCACCAGTTTCCCCTCGCTGATACTGAGAAGATGTCCAGCACGCAGCCAACACATTGTGAGGCCTGAAAATAGGGGCATACAGTTGCAACCGCCAGAGAAAACACAAGCCTGCCTTGAGCTCTCCACCATCGACAGTGTGCAGCCCTATTTAAAGAGCATTTTTCTCCAGCGCAGGTTGTATATAAAATTCAAGCAAGAGGCAGCAGGAGACCTGCCATCAGCCCTAATGTTACACTTTTATCCCATGGAGATGCTGGAAGATCTCGCAGTTTGGAGGGCCAACAACAGCTTCTCTGTTCTTCCACACAAGCTCGCTTTCCCCCTCCAACTTGCTCATTACAGAATGTCTGCAAGCCAAATATGGCATTCATCTGGCCCACACCTGCTCCAAATCCAATCATTAAACCCGCCTGTCTAAATATATCTCACTGGCTTGGGCCAATTCAATTACTTAAAGCCATGACTATGGGTCTACTGTGTGTATGGGGTATGCTCACAAGTGCTGCTGCCTCAAAAAACAAAGCGGTGGGAAAGATGAAAAGCATTAACGTTTCCAATAGAAGTTTTGCCTGGATTAACTGTTTGTGCTCTGCTCGTTAACAGGATTTCTACAGTGAATAAACACTACACACATAAACTCAACTCACCACATTTTCTGCCCAAGAACATCTGTCCTGCTACGCAGTGTCCTGGCAGCTCTGCCAGCTGGCCCGGACTCCTGGATAGATTGTAGTCTGCTCCGGCAAAGTGGAGGTGGAACTGCTCCCGGTTGATGGACTTCCGCAGGGTCCTGATGGTCTTCCTGAGCCTCTTCTCTGAACGGCGGCGCACGCAGTTCACGTCACAACCCTCTGCTGAGAAAAGCACTCGATACTGCAAGAGTTTCCAAAGCAAGATTTCCTATTGTTCACCTGCAATAACCTGCGATTTCATGCCTAGATTCCATCATGCCATAAGCTTACTTCACACCGCTAACGCAGAAATCAAGGAAATTAAACAAAAACACCCTTTGCCCCAAATCTAGAACCCATCACCAGAGCCAAGTCAAAACAGGAGATACTTTTACACAGCTTGGTTTGTTTAGTGACAAACAGAGCGGCGAAAGACAGATTTAAGGATCATAATCACAGGTCGCAGACAGACAGGCGGGCAGGCAAGCAGAAACCACAGAGAGACCAACCTGTTACCTCCTCTAGGTTCACATCCAGCTCAAACTCAGCAGTGATTGAGGAGCCGTCCTCTTCGCCGGCCTTCCTGCCATGGCGGCTACGCATTCTCTGTCCGGATGAGGTGCAGTGCAGGCTCACGTAGCTGAACTGGACATTTTCAGTGAAGAGAAACTTCCTTTCTGTGAACATGGGACACAACAAACCCCCAGCAAGCACAACAAAGAGAAAAATTGCACAGTTGTTAACAGACAGGAAACATTAATCACATACAATAATCTTTGGTCATGCACACTGAAAAGCTACTAGAACAAAAAGGATGCAATGGCAATGAGATGTTGGTTTCCTTTCAGTGTCTGTGAGGGATGTACCATGCTGAGCCCCTTTTGTAGAAGCAAAATAATCCTACAATCAGAATCGTGTTTGATTGATAGCTAGGTCAGACACAACTGAAAGGCATCCTGTGGCTAATTACATCCTCCCTGTCACTGGCAGACAAAGTGCTGTGCTGAGATGTGGAAGACACTCAAAACCACATCACTTTCCCCACAAATTTCTTTCACATTTGCTCTTGGTTTTTGGTTTTCTTTGAAGCATCTTTAAGGTCTGCTTCAGAGTCTTTAGATGTTGGCAGTTCTCGGTAAACCCAAAATGTTTTTTAACCAGCAACATAAAGACGATATAACTCTAAGTCTTGTGCTTTGAGTCGGCGTGGCGCTGTACCTGAGCGCGCTGAGTTTAGGCTCTCCCTGAGTTTCTCCTGACTTCGTTTTAAGTTGCACCTTGCGGTGCCAGACTTAAAAGTGGCCGTTGTCTTAATGCGGGCAAGGCTGGCCGTTTCTCGACCTGCACGACAGGGGGACAGAAAATATCGTTATCAAGTGAAGACAAGTAAAGTGTGACCTACCTGTTCCTGTGTTACTGTTTTCTTTGGCAGAGCGGAAAAAAAAAAAGATGTAAATCTGCGATGTCCTGTACTTGCCTAAGCAATATGAGCCACTGTTGTTCTTTTGTGCGTCAGCCAAGCAGGGCAGAGGCATTCCACAGGTCACTGTGTAGGAATCCTCCGTCCCTGAAAACACACGAGGCCGTGACACAGGGACCGACACTGACAAAAGTAAGGGCCAAAAAAACAACTAAGACAAAAGACAGGCAGCATGTATGAACATGAAGTCCCTCAACAGACTTTTCACTCAATTAAATCTACAACTGTTGAGCTTACTGACTAGTTGCACTTCCACCTGACTGAATTGTGCTGTTTGAAGACATAATATGCACCGACTATACAAAAAGCATCCTCGATGTATCATAAGCTTCTTCACCAATCCACCCCGGTCCTTTTTATCTCTCTCTAACTAACCTGTGAACCTCCAATTGTCAAAATATCCTGATTTAAATGTAGGACTTGTAGCAGTGCTAATTCTGCTGGATTAGTTGACATGTTTTGCAGCTGCTTCACTCTGACAACCCAACACCAGCCATCTGCTTCATATCAGCAAGTAGCTCTTGTTAAATTTTTTTTTATTCACACCCCAGTTAACTGTTACCACAGCAACAAGTACTTTTCTTGGGGTCCGCAGAGAGTCAACAAGTAAACTGAAGAGGGCAATATGATAAAAAATAAACTATGAAAGAGACAAACCATCCATTTATCTAATTCAGGGAACCTATCCCAGCTGTCATAGGGTGAGAGCTGCGGTACACCTTGGACAGGTCATCAGCCTATCGCAGGGCCAACACAGAGAGATGTACCCATGCATGTTTTTGGACTGTGGGAAGAAGCCAGAGTACCCAGAGAGAACTCACTGTGAGGCGACAGTGCTGACCACGGCACCACCCAATGATAAGACCATTAATGTATATTCCACATACATGCTGTCTTTTTATGCAGCTTTATTTTATTTGGATATTCTTAGTTTATTAGTATTTCATTTCATTATTATTTTTTTATCTTTAATGTCATCTTTCTCAATTTTTTCAGGTGCTTCAAATCTATTTATATTTTATCTTCTATTTCTTAATGTTTTTGTTCTTTTTTTAATTTATTATAATATTACAAATTATTTGCTTTGCTTTATCACTCTTTGTTCTCATTATCTACTGGTTAGTCATCTGTGAAGCGCTGTGAACTGCACTAACTTGCATGAAAGATGCCCATACAAATAAAGACTGATTGCATGACAGATGATATATAACGTAGCCAAAAAAATTATCTCAGTTATTAAACCAACACACCGGTTTACCGCAGCTCACACTATACAGAGATCTGGCTCAACCAACTCACCGCTGCTGATGTGTACTTGAGACTGGCAGGTCAGAAAGCAGCGATCCCCTCCCTCCTGCTTGCTACAGTTCAAAGTAGGTTTAGATGGGGGCTGTGCAGGTGATAAACCCTGAGCCGCTAGATAAAAACCACAACAAAACTCAAACATGTTCAAAAGCAAGAAGGAGGAAGATGCACATGAAGATGAAGAAGCACAGAAAGTCCAAAATCCTGACAGCTTTGTAGCATTTTGGATGGATTACTCAAGCACAAGAAAATTAAAGAGTAAACAAATAAATAAATAAAGAACAACTCAAAGTATCTCCTGTTTTTGTCCACAAAGGTGTTTGCTGTCACACTTCGTCACTGCACAATTTCCATTGAGACGTGACAATAACAGACCTGCTTGTCATTCAGAGACAGGTGCTAACCTACCGATGCAGTCCTTTTTGTTCCAATGTAGCTTATAGCCGGGACGGCAAAAGCATTCAAATCCACCCACGGTGTTCTCACAGCCATGCTCGCAACCGGCATTGTTCACACTGCATTCATTTATATCTGGGATGGGAAAAAAAAGAAAAAAAAAAAAAAAAAAAAAAAAAAAAAAAAAAGGTCACTCTTTATCATTTCAGAGATCGATTTCCAAAAACGCCAATGAGCAACCACTCACATCTGTGTGCTTAATCAAATAAAACATTTAAATGCATCAAGCACTTGTGTGTTATGCTGAACTTGCTATGTGTAGTGCCCTCCACCCAACTTAGTCTCACCTCCACAGTGGGCCAGTCCGTACATGGTATAGCCTTTGTTGCACAGACACTGAAAACCACCCGGGGAGTTCACACAGGTGTGATCACATGTGCGCTCGAAGAAGCATTCGTCTATATCTGTAATCAAAATCAGGCAGATGACATAATAGCAGGGCAGTCAGTTACAATCTTCGCCAGCAGGAATTTCCCATCTAATGACGACCATTTTCCTACTCAGTGAAGTGCGACAGGTACATTACACTACAGCAGATTAAAAAAACAAAAGCAAAAATACTAGCTTTTCATAGAAACGACTTCTAAAAAAGAAATCATTGTCATCAATCATGCCAAACAAAAAGGTAAACAAAAGTAAACCCCAGAAAAAGGTTTTACATGCTCCCTGATGTATTCAACTCTTTAAAGCCTGAACCATGAAATAATTGTCAAGTAATTCAAGTTGAATAAAATCACACTAATGATGTAGAAGTCTGAAAAACTCACAAAAACTCAACATGATACTAATTTTTATATTTTTATTTTACAAAAATCTAAATTCACTCAGTGATTTAAAAAAAGAAAAAGAAAAAAAGAAAGAAACAAGAGAGAGAGAGATTGTAAATGTCATCATTATCTCGTTCATGCAAGTTCCTGTTACTGCTCCTGCAGCTCAGGAGCCACGTCTACCTTGACAGGAGCGTTCGTCTGTCAGCAGCTTAAAACCTTTTCTGCAGTTGCACTCAAAGCTGCCGATGGTGTTCTTGCAGGAGTGATCGCAGCCGCCGTTGTTGACCTCGCATTCATCGATATCTGCGGGTGAAACGAGCGAGATTCTAAGAACGCATTTTCACGCGCATGTTAGCGTATTAAGATACTATCCCTCGTTGTGAAGACGGGAGTCTGACCTTTGCACGTCTTCCCATCTGGCTGAAGCGTGAAGCCAGCGGGGCAGCTGCAGCGCACGCCGGTGGATGTGTCTTTGCAGGTGCAGTCGCAGCCGCCATTGTTCACGGCGCAAGTTTCTAAAAATGCAACACGCCTTATCACTGCATGGAAAAGACCTTTCACCTAGTGGGGAATGCTGTGCTTTCTGTTTGTGGCAAAATACTAGAACTTAGCAGAATAAAATGATTTCCTGTAAAGAACCCTTTAAATAATTTTGTCCACTGATTTAAAAGGTTAAATTAACGTGCAGAATTTAACAATATTGTGCGTCTAACGTCACTGAGATGTTTGGATTAGGGCTGACCCGTACAGTCTCACCAGATGAGACTGCATACCTAATAAAGTACCAATCACACAATGTTTTACATGTATTGAGTGACCCAGAATCACACAACTGATGAATACTCAACATAGAAGAAAAGATTCACATGCTTTCCTTTCCAAATGGAAGGAAAATGTGAAATGTACCACACTGTCACATACGTGTATATTTCAGGTGAGGTCGGCGGTGAGAAAGTGAGCATGCAGCCATTTCACAGTTTGCTCAAAAGACTGAGGAATGTATCAGTTTGCTAGAAATAAACTCCTCTCCCCACTCCTGAGGGCTTCCTGGAAGCTTCACACGTAAACCCCCCCCCCCTCAAAAAAACAAAAAAACCCACACAAATTCAAAACTGCGGGAGTCTTATTATTACCCATTAACAGCCTTCGTTTGACCCGCTTGTCCACCTCTGTAAAGGACGTGGCATTGTGGTCCAAGGACTCTGTGGTGGCTTCATCTCGTTCTGTGACACACAAAACCAGAGTAATGCTTTACTGTTATCCTCAGTGAGTGTTTATGCCAGCCATCAGGGCGCAGATGTGTTTTGACACTTGAGATGTTCAGCTTGTGGTGGCTTGGTGTGTGTCAGATAACACGGAAGATCAGAAAAGTGAATCACGGAGACAACGTCGCAGTGACACGCTCAGACCTCACACACACTGCCGGCTTGGAAGGAGAGATATTACCCGCTATCTGACGGCTGATCCTTATCCTTTACAACCGCTGTGTGGAAAAATGCACGCTGCCTAACAGGAGAACTGATGGAGACAAAGAGGGATCCTCTAATTTCATCCATTCATAAGGGTAGCCTCCTCATAACTCAAGAAGAAAAAAAATAGTGTAGGCAGCTCCTGGATTTCGCCCACCCTGGGCTGAAATCTAGATCTATTTTGCTTAATACTGAACATAAATGAGTATATATGTATGTAAAAACAATTATCGTCAGGTTAAAACATTGTATACATGTTTTGTGTTTCTTTGTTAAAGCTTTAAAATGCTGTAAACATCATCTAGATATGAAAGCATGACTCCAATTAAGTCATAAAAAAAGTTCATCTAGCCTACAGCGTTACTTTATTATTGGGTCAGTTGACACTTAGAGCAAAACTGCCTTCAAAACGCCATCTTTTTTTAAGGCTTAACCATTAGATTAATGTACTCAGATGTAATGGCTTATTATTTGGCATCTTTGGAAAAATGTTTTATCACTTCGCAACCTTGCACGCTGGTTGGAAATGATGTGAGGACATTAAAGATAATAGAGGATATTTGATGTGATGTGTTTTAGATGACAGAGTGGTCTAATGTGCCTGCTGGATGGCTGGCTGTGGAGTGGGAAACATTATCTTTACCAGGCAGGATTGGAATGACAAAGATATCTTCACCATATTAACAGCTCATGGAGATAAATTTTTGTCTCACCTCCTTTTTATGCATGTACACCTACCACCTGCTCACCTGATCCTAAGCATGTTTTTTAAAAAAAACAAACAAACAAAAAAACAACAACAACAACAACAACGTATATACAGTGTGTATGCACGGGCATATACTGTCCTCTCTTCCTCCAAAATTCAATAACATATCAATCATAAAAAAATTATGTGTATCCCAGCATTTCTTTCACTGCAGCATTGTGCTCACACTGTTTTGCATTCCTCATCTCAGCTCAGTGTCAGCCTGCTTACCTACACATGAGCTCCTGTCAGGCTGCAGAGTGTACCTGCTGTGACACCTGCATATGGAGCCGTTCTCAGTGTCCTCGCAGGTGTGCTGGCAGCCTCCATTGCCATGGTTACAAGTCACTGTAAGGTAAACAACGTGCAACTATGAATGCAAATAATCAGTTCAACATAAGAAGCCCGATGCACTTGGGAGTGTTAGCGTGCACGTACAGATGCAGTCTCTCTGGTTCTTGGCCAGCTCAAAGCCTGGACGGCACTCACAGGCCACACCCCCTTTGGATGTCTCCTTGCAGATGTGGGCGCAGCCGTGCTCCTTATTCATACAGTTGAGGCCCTCTGGATAGAAAGAGGGAGAGAGGTACACAATGAAACTCTCCTACAGTGACTGACCAGCTACACACAAAGGCGCACATACTGAGAGATTAGTCTGGAAACTTGAAAGACACTGATTGTTCTCACGCCCCTACACAAGCCAAAAACATCCACTGCTGCGTTATTCTTAGCGCCTCTACAGAGGGAACAAGAATCTAAAGTTCATTCCCCCCCAAAAAAACCCAAACAACAAAAAACAAAACAACATATTCAATGGTGATTTGTAGCAGCATTTATATGGACGGGTCACAGCTGAGTGGATAGGTCCACTGGGATATAAAAGGGTTGTCAAGACCCGATGGAGTGGAAAGTAGTCACATTTGAGTCGACTTCAGTGAAGGAGACAAAACAAAGGCGCTTCAGACTAATCTGTGACACTGACCGCATAGACCAGAGTGTTGCAGTTATTGACTTATTTTGTTCTGTGGGACACAGAGATCCTTTTTCCCACAGCATGTTGCTGTTTCAGATGAAAGCTCAGTGACAGGAGCCAGCTTGAACCTGTCACCCCTCATTGTGTCATCAGTCTCTTGGAGAATCTGCTACATCTTTCTCTCTCTTTCTATTTTTTACTAGTTTTACACAATTAGGGCACACAGGCATCCACAAACACACAATCTTTTGTGGATGAGTTATTAGCTATTTCAAACTTTGTGTTACATATACTCACCCACAGAGCGGTGGATGCACGTGTGCTGGTTGTCGCTGAGGAAGAAGCCCTCTTTGCAGCGGCACTCGTAGCTGCCCATTGTGTTGACACAAGTGTGCTGGCACCCACCGTTGTTGAACTGGCATTCATCCACATCTACAGGACAGTGAATCGATCACACAAGTAAACAGCTTACAATGCTTCAGGTGGGAGGTATTCACTTACATAAACCAACACAGACAGTCTTCAGCGTTTTATAAAGCATAAGTTTACACAGCTGAGGACGCAAGCTCCCCGTCTACCATGAAAGATTGCTTATTTAGTTTAAAGCTAATCTTACCTAGACAGTTATGTCCATCATGTGCCAAATGAAACCCATCATAACAAGTGCAGCGATAATTGCCTGGTGTGTTGTTGCACTCATGCACACAACCCCCATTGTACTCCAGGTCACATTCATCAATATCTAAGAAACAAACAACACATAAAGGTTGGGGTGGGGAGAAAAAGCTAATAATGCTAAAACATCTTGGGCTCTGAACAATTAGAACAAGGTGTGGCTGCAATAGGAAGAAAAGAAATCTGTGGCTAAACATTTACACAATGCTTACCTTCACACTGTTTTCCATCGCCTTTAAAACCTGCTTTACACGTGCACTTATAAGAGTCTTGGGTCGTTTGACAAATAGCATCAATGTGACAGCCATCACTTCCCTCTGCGCATGGATCTACAGGAATGCATTATCATCAAAAACACGTTAGAAAATTAACAAAAAGCCGACATATTTGTGAGAATGAAGCCGGAAAATTCAGATTTAACTGATAAAAACGAAATAAAAGAGTATGAGTCGAAATGGGGGGGAAGTCCTGTGAAAACCTGAACGTTAACAACATGCCAAAAAACAAAACTTTTTGGAAATGTTTATGCACACGGAACGCGCAACCTGCCACAGCAGCGGTGTTTTTTCCTATAATACAAAGTTGTTAGGAATTAGGAGAAAATGCTAAAAGTCGCCGCTGGTGAAACGACATGGAGCGCACTCCTGGGAAAAGCGTGCGTAAAGTCTCCACGACAGCAAAAGACAACACACACACATGCTCACACACTCACTACAGTCCCACCTCGAAACTCTGGAAGCGCTGCGCTTTGGCGACTATTTAACAGGAGCAAAAACAAACAAAAGTCCCTTGCAGCCCAAACAGCTCCCATGGCGATATGATCCAACTTTAGAGGTCTTTCTCAAAAGGACGCGTACGCACTGAAGTCGCGAGCGAGCGTCCGCCTCATTTTCATTCTAGCCTGTCAATCCGCTTCACAAGGCGCTTTTGAGAAGAGAAAGGAGTGAGTGAGTGAGAATAAGAGCGTGCGTGCGCGCGCGAGCACGTGAGAATGGAAAAAACGCTTTTGAAGCAGAGTTGAGTCAATAGAGGGAAGCCAAAGAAAAGCGGAAGCGTCAAGTGTGTGTAAAAAGCATCACAACGGCAGCGCGCTGCAGAGGCTTCTATTTTGAAAAAAAGAAATGCCCGGAAGTGTTATAGTAAATGCTAATTTACAAGCTCCTTTGAGTGGCTTTAAAGTCTAAACAGCGTTTGGTGTCTGTGTATGGTAGCACGGAGGCGAGCGACAGTCGACAGTGACTGTTGCTTAGCTAAAAGCGATTTACTCGTAGGGAATCGTTTCGAAAATGACGACCTGTGGTCGTTCCAGGCGCCGGTTGCCTCAGTAACCCTCTAATAAATACGCTAGAGGCAGAGCAGTTGGAATTACTTACTCATGGGCTCTGGTTAGAGGTAACCTAGTGGTAAATATGCTACAAGGTCATGTGTCAATCAACGATATTCTACATTCTCATTGGTAGTCGCCTTACTGCTCGCCTTGGATTTGAAATAAAAAATGTTTGTCCCGAAGTCCCACCCACTTCGGTGTTTCGCCCGGAGTCGCTTAATGTCTTTGCCTTTCAATGATCTCTTGTGGCCTTATCGGTTTGAATCGCTTCCAGTGTGGACTCAGCTACATATTAAGTTCTCTCAATTTTTACATATGTAATATAAAATATATGACATAACATAAGAGCGTACACGTCAGATAGCAAACCAGATGTCACTGGGGAAACTCTTTGTTGCCATATGCGTTTTTGTTAGTGACACACCAAGTCTTGTTTAGACTTTAAGTTGACTTAAGTTTAAGAATACTTACAGGCTTTTTTCACTGCCGTTGTAATGTTTTACGTGCACTGCTGTGTGTATATATAGTGCATTAAGCTAAATATTAGCTAACTAGCTACTCCTGGAAGCGAACGTTAATTAAAAAAGCGAGGTTGCTAGGCAACGAACGATTTTTAGTTCTAATTGATAATCGCTACACGAAAGACGCCTTGTTCACCAGTCAAATAAATAGTTAACTTTAAAGTCAGGCGTTGGTTTGAAAGCTACAGACCTCCTGAATAAGAGTGAAGTACATACACTTGCTTCAGCAGGACTGTTAGCTTAGTATCGACGTTTACATGCATTTATGAGCTTTTACCATCGGACAAATAAGCTAACGATGGTAGAATTTGCTAAGATTGCACCATACTGATTTTTACAGCCGCAGTTTTCCCTACTGTGACTTAGGTTCAATTATCAAAATGCAACTCCAGTTGTGCAATATAAGTGAAATCCCAATCTAGCCAATAAACAAGAACACCTTTAACCCCTGCAAACAGCAAAGGGACCAAAAGCTCCATCAGCGTTAATATAGCTCTTTTCCACCACCTGCTGGTGCAGAAAAATATGACAGGCCGCTTTTTTTTTTCTATTTTTTTTATTGTAATACAGATCTACTTTGTGGTACAGTATAAAAAAACAAAACAAAACATACATTGCATGTTCAAAGGAAGCGCACAAAATTTCTGAAAGGCTCTACACCAATTATCTAAAAATTTCAGTTACAAAAGTTTTTGTAATAAATAAACATAAATTACATAAGAACCATAACGGAAAGATCAAATAATTCTTTAAGGCACATCTGATATCCCAAAATGTACCTCTTAAAAAAATATGGCAACTCCCTAAGGACAAAAAAAAAGCTTATTTTCCAGCTTAAAAGGAAGCAGCATTTCTCCTTTTAATAAGAATCATAAACATGTTCAGCATTTAACAACCCTGCCGCAGAAGATAATATATTAAGCAACTTTACAGAGCATTGCCTGTCAATTCTTTTAGTTTGAGACCACTTATAATCATGTTAAAAAAAAAGCAACCGTTGTCACTGCAGTATTAATTTGAGACAGTATGGCGAAAAACTGCAATCTGAGCATTATTTTTGACATGACAAAGACAAGAATGATCATGAGACATTGACTTAGGACAATTAGAAAAAAAAAAATGCAACATTATTGCTAAAATAATGGATGCTTTTCACAAGCCAATTTTGGTTGAGCAAGGATCCATCGCTTTACACCTAAAGTAGCAAAAGCGACGGACGGCCCCAGAGCACTTCTCACATTCAAAACGTCTGCATAGTTTGAACTTTGACAGTCGCAGCCATGACAAACACATTTCATTAAAAGCAATTTTTTTGAATGGTGATAATGGGGGCTAACATGTAAAGCAACGTCAAAAGATGAACCACACAGTAGGAGGAATGTTGCTGCTCACTGTTGGGTTTAGAGAAATGTATCTGATCAAAGAGATGTGAACATGTGGTAAAAAAGCCTGTTCTTTTCTTCTTGTTGTTAAAGTACATGTTTTAACAATGTTGGGACACACAAAAGCATTTTTTTTTTTTGAAACAGACGTAGTGGTTTTCTATTCCTGTTATTGTTTAAAAAAAAAAAAAAAGTTTCGATGTTCCAACAGCCAAAATATTGTATTTACAAAATCCACTAAAAAACAAAATCAAAAAACAACAAACAGGGATGTACTGCATGCATGGTCGAACCACATCTATCAGTTAATGTGCACACACTGCTGAACAAATTTAAAATGGAGTGTTTCAAACTTGTGGCATGCTAAAGCTGTATACATGTCCAAAGATTACGTGTTCTCATCTATATACACATATTAAAAGATCATTAAATCGATAAAGAACAGTTATACTAGTGATCCCCGGTGTTAGGAAAAAGCCATTTTTGTATTAAAAATAAAACAAAAATTCAAAGATTCATTTGCACTAATAGACAAAACATAGCAAAATGTTGAAGTCACTCCACTCACAAAAAAGCTGGTGTCTTTCATTTACACACAATTTGACAACTAATGAAAAACAAAACAATCCTGATATGTATAAAAAAGGTGACAAAGTATTTACAGAAGGATGATCATGTCATAAAAACCAAAATTATAATCCAGAGTCAAAAGCAGAGCCTTAGCAAAATTTGTCTCCTCATCCTATAAATAACACTAATGCCCTTAAGGTTTTTTTTTTCCATTTGTGCTTTCTATAAAAAATAAAAAGGAAGGAAAGAAAGAAAAATCAATTCTTTACAAAAAGTCAAAAAATACCTATATAAAAAGGAATATTACAAAGGAAAAAAGGTCTACCTAACTGCCTATAGGAAAGAGGAGGAGCAGAAATGAGAGGTCTACCACTGGAGACAAATCCAGGTGGATGCCATGGATAACCCCAACAGGGAAATTCAACAACAACAATAGCATTCACCAGGTTTCTTTTATGTCTTCTGGGTGTTGTGTGTCCGGCAAGTGTGTGGCCACTTGCGTCGGTGATGTCAGTGTCTTCTGTTTTTTGGAACTGCAGCAGGGCTTGAAAAGCCGGGGATCAATAATCACCTCTCCAAACCGACCCTTGTAGACAATCCCACAGCACACCTTTTGTCTAAAAAGTTAAAAGGTGAAAAGTTACTTAAACAATGCTTAATCTTTTTTTTCTTTTTGAAAAAGATATCAATTTTTTTTTTCTTCAGTGTAGTCAACGAGTAGCTTGCCTTTTCCAGTAGGAACGGTCCAAGAAGGAGAAGATAGAGGGAGCTGAGCGTCTTTGCTTGGACTCTATGTCTGAGCCATCATCTGACTGGTTGCTGTAACTGGGAGACTGGGCAGGAGACACGCTGGAGGTCGTGCTGTGTGCATCAGAGTCTGCTTAGAAAAAGGGAATATATTAAATATTATCATATTTACATTTGTTTGGTAAGGTTCTGTTGAATTCTAAATATTTTAAGACAGTAATTTAACCGATCACTTATTTAGCAGAAAGTTAGCCACCACTTCTAAAACTGATCCAAACTTTTACACTTCATGGTTCAATGACTGTTTTTGACACCAAATCATCACTTTTTGGATTTTAGAGGAATGAATTTGCCTTTTTTGTCCTACTACACAGTCACATATGATTATATTATTATTAGTTTTTAAATAAAATTTGATCAGTGAATGACATTTATCCAGCACCCAAATTGCCAATTAATTCTAATTAACTTTCAGCCCTGAGATGAGCCTGAAGCTAAACAGCGTGCCCTAACCCAAACAGCCACCAGATGATGCTAGCAGTTGCTTTTAATTAGTCAGAGAAGACAAACATAACAAACCCAAGACTGATGGACAGTGAGAATGAGCTGCAGCTAAAGTGTTTAAAATCAGTTGTTTGAGGGCTAAGAAAAATGTATTCTGCATCTGTCAAGATTACTAAGAATAGATCACGATTTAATGTTTTTAAAATGACTCACTCTGTCTCTTGAACTTGTGCAGCTTCTTTAGCTTGCTTTTCTTCTTCCCATCTCCATTTTTTATCTTCTTGGGTTTTGTCACCTTAAAGCCTGGACCTGCTCTTGCATCCACCACCTGAATTAGGTTAGACACAACAAGTCAGCAGTCCATTGAATGGGACAAATATGCACTAACAGTACCAATAAATGGATATAACTTACATGGTTCCAATTTTTCTTGGAGCCAAGAGGCAGCTTTTTCCACCTTTTCACCAGTAAGACACAGGCGTTGCAGATGTCTCCAACACGATCCTCAGAGAGCCTTTAAAGAAAAAGAAAAAAAAAAAAAAAATTATATATATATATATATATATATACACACACACATTTAAAAAAAAAAAAAATACATGAGTCATTAATAAAGTATGCAAAAAAAAACAAAACTAAAAAAACGAATGCACAGATAATTCAATATGAATAAATGCGAGCTCTTACCCAAAACACAGCCTGAATGTCTCCTCATATCGACTGCTGTCTGTGAATCGAGAACTGGAGGACTTGGTCTTGCAGATGCAACAGCCTTCGTTACTCCTGTAGATCTTTGACTTGTGAAAGCCAAACATAGTCTATTTCTTGGTCGGTGTTAGGGTTAAAATCCTGAAAACGGAAGGAGGAATAAAAATATCAGCACACGATCGGTAATTGTCCCAGTCCCACCTTTTCTAAGCACCGTGGATGTCTGCAGACAGTTGTGCTTTCTACTGCTAAAAGGGGGCGGTCCCTACACGCGCACACATACAGATTTAAGAAAACCCGTCCACAACCTCACAATTATAACAAATCCTGCAAGAAATCACCTTTTTTTTTTTTTTTAACTAATCGAAACATAAAACTAATAATGCGCAAACATCTGAAAATGCCCAACTACATTTGGCTAAAGCCGTAACCGTTGAGGAATTTAAAGTCAAGTCACGGGAACACCAAAACACCAAAAAACAACAAAAACAAGACAGCACGAACACTAAACGCACGCTATATCGCCATGTTATCGATCGTCTTATCACATAAAGAAGATCTGAGGATCATCCACGCGGATGCGGGTCCGAGTCTGGATCTTAAACTTTCAAACGCAGCTCGGTTAACGTGGGGACGTCACACGAGCAGCGTTTTACACTCGGTAGCAGGCATTAATACCACTTTTCTAAACATCACTGCATGGATTATATATTTTACTATCTAGCAAACGTTAACAAAGTGAGATTGCGAGCGATTACACGTTGTTTATCAGGAGATTGGTGTGCGCTGGGAATCCGAAACAAAAAGCGGGCTGTAAGCGGCGCTTTCTGAAGTGAACAAACAAAAAGCTACCGTGCTATTCGTTAAAATGCGCATCTCTAAATAAGTCATACTTATCAACTCAGTGCATTTAGTGAATGTCACTGAAATTTTAACAAAATGCAAAAAGTTGCAACGAACACATCCTTCCCTTTAAATTCAAACTTTTGCCCGCTAGAGCGCCAAATATGGTTCATTGTTGTTAGCCCTTAGCATTCCAGCTAGCTTACTTCGCTACCAGCACCACGCCACGCTCTCGTTCACTTCCACGTTATCCCCATTGTCGAGACTGTTAGTCTTAAACGTTTGGCGCGTGACATATGGAAAAGCACACGTCAGGTCACCACTGCACCACATTACGGCTACTCTTCACGTACATAACGAATAAATAAAATCTCATAAATGTAATATCAGTAGAAGAGACATAAGACTGCACTTACCGAACAAAAACTTTGAATCTTCGCCGTTCCTTTCCCGCACTGCGCATGCTCTTACTACAACTGCATACAGCTGGTCATTAGAATACATTTGCATAAAAAACCGGAATGAAAACGCAGAGCTTACATGACCATATAAGGCGTGCAGCCGTTGGGTTTGAACCCGATTCCAACCAATCGCTGACCCCTTCGCGTACTCGCCAGAAGACATGAATTCTGGGAAGCGTAGTGAACAAGCGAGGCGTTGTGCCGTTGTTAGATGTGAACGGACTGTCTTGAAACTCAAAATCCCATAAGGCACATGGCCGAAGCCTTTAAAGAAAAACACCTCTTTGATATGGCGCGAAAGAGTTTGTTTACATTTTCTCAGCCGAGAAAAGGCATTCAGCGGAAATATGAATGCACAACAGCCATTTAAAAGCTATCAAATCACGACTGCAGGACCTACAAAGCTCATTCATCTAAATTATACATCTAAATATGCATTTAAGCTTCCCTTTATTGCACATTTTAGTTAGCGTAAGTACTTTACTTGAATTCAGGGCACTAAATAAATTTATTATAATTAATAAATATACTATTATCACTATTTTATTAATCAACAATTCTGTTAAATGTACCGTTTTATTTAAAAAAAAATCTAATTTCTAAAGCCCAAATTCATATATTTAAGTTTCTCTCTAGCAGCTTGTATAACTCCAGAGCTCCTGGAGCAAATAATATAAATGTGTTAATGAAAAACAAAATCACCCATTTGAATGCATTACAGATGCTTTATTCTTAATATATTTTTACACTGTACACTGCTGCTCACTTAGTAAACACTACATTACACCGCTATATCAATAAATGTACAACTGTATTGGAAAACAAAAATATATATCTCCCAAGATGCTTGTGTGTCGGGTCGTACACAGATGGGTACAACACAGTCATTCCAGACGTTGTTGGCACAGGTAAGAAGTCCATCACATACCAAGTCTCTTATTCTGCACAGTAAAGTGAAATGTCTATAACGGAGGAGGGCCTGGGACCATCTCAAGACGCCCTGATATGGAGTTTACAGGGAGTTTAATTTCTCTCGTGGATATTGCATAGCAAGAAAACATGATACGAAGGAATAAAAATAAAAATCAGGAGACGACGGGGAGGGGGGGAAGCAGTCCTTTTTGCTCCTCACATGGGAAGCAGGAGATCATTCCCATCACAGGAAGCCTACTCAGATAATCACAGTTTTTTATGTTTGCAGAAGACAGCAAATGTAGTGTAAGAGCTGTAATGATGGCAGGAGAAAGGGGCTGGTTGGAGGTGTTAGCATGAAGGTTGTAGTTGTGATCCAGGTCGCACAAAAAGCAGGGTCGAGCATCTCTTGGAGAACTTTGGGGTTACTTTTCTTAATCGCTGAATACAGGCTTAAAACCACACATACACACACACACAACAGGGATCTTCATCTCTGCTGAAGGTGCTCCTTGTGAAAGATTTTGCATACTTGTACTTCTATCAGGGAAAGGCCTGAATGTAACAGCCCACGTGGTGAATCACCTAACTCTACAAACTTCCCTGTCATACACACACTTACAAAGCATACATCCACATCATTTGCTCTAAGCTCTGCGTTATGACATTGAACTCGGAGTTGATAACAGAGCAAGCAACTTAACCAATTTAACAAAATAATACTGTTTTTTTCCCCCTCTGAAAATATATTAACAGTTTTGATCCCCCGCTTTCCCTTAAATATAGCCGTCGCCAGCAGTTCACGATAACGGTGAAAATATTCAGTTTTCAGTAAAACATTATAGCACAAGTAGGTCAATAATGTGTAAATCATGGTTCGTAATAGAAAACATATTTTTAAACATCTAATGGCAACATCGTCAAGGATAAAAATAACAACATATCTGGAAAGGCTCATTGCACTTAATATATGGCAAATGTTAACAGTAGCTTTAATATAAGCCAGAAAGTCTCCTTTGTTCAAGCCTGTTCCTGCATATAAAAGGTTCAGTTATTCTTTTTAGTGGTCCCCAGTGATCGTCCTGGTCAAGTCCAGTGGGTGGGAAACTGGTTTGGCTTTAGATGCCGACACCTTTGACGAGTGAAGCCTCCAGGGTGATGTTGAACTCCTGCAGAGTCTGCAGTACTCTGATCAGAGCGTTTACCAGCGAGCGGTCCTTAATCAGTGCAGTGTCCTCATACATCTGAGAAGTGATTGGACAATCTGCGAGCAGAGCGATCCAGTGATGGAGCAAATGGTCCCTGACAAAAGATGACACATGTGGAGTTAACAGAGCAGCTTAACACGTGATGCAGTTTTCCAATAAAAATCATAAGCTGTGGTGGAATAAAAGTGAACTACATTACACTATGCTTAAAACCTCTACCAAAGCTGTCAAATCCTTTCACTTGAGATGCTGAAATAAGCCTAGTTTTTGTATTCTACTGTAAACTTGTTGGGAATTATGTTCTTTCAGTTCAAAGTCTGATCAAGTGTCACAGCACAGAATCATAGAAAAAGGGTAAAAACACAGCTGTACATCTGCAGAGGACTGAAAACTCGTACATAATAAACTCTTAACAGAGAGGAAGCTCTAGAGAAAACTATTCAAATGAAGGATGCTTCAAGGATTCTCAAAGCAGAGACCATTTGCACTTCAGTCCATGCAGGCTGAGACATCAGTGTATCAGCAAAGACTGTTTTATATCTCATAAGCTTCACTAAGAAGTTTTACTGCATCCACTCTGAACACTCAACTTTCTTTTTGTCCACAACAATATTAACAGTGTTCTAAATGTTTATTGAGTCTTTTATTTAGTTTATGGACTTTTTCATCTCATCTTTTGTGCGGATGTTTTCTTTTAACGCTTATACACGCTAACAAGCCAAACTAACATAACCTCTCCAATTTTGGCACAGTCACATGTCGATGGGCCCAATTACTCTTATTAATGAATGTGTATTATCTCTTTTTAGATGAAATATTAGCAGCATATGTGGTCCTTCCTACCTTGCACCCAGACAGACGAGCATTTGGAACTTCCCGTCCTTGCCGATGTTTCTGGGAGCGTTGTTGATGGCGCGCATGAAGCGGCAGAAGTGGCGCACTCTGGTTTGCCAGTTTTCATCCGGGGTCACCTCACGCTGCTCAGCACTTTCAAAGTAAACTTGTGCCTTTTCTGTATTTTTTTTTGTAAAACAAAGAAGACCACTCAGTTAACAGTTTTTAACAGTATTTAAAACACACTAAACCTGGAAGGAAACAGCAAAACATTGGTCTACTTTAACAAGAAAAAAAATGTGAGGCATCTTTGAAATTAAAGCATTTTTCAATAGAGAAACAATCGATCAACATCAACAGACATTTCCAAAGTACTCGTACACCACAAAATACTTTGCAGATTACTGCAGTTGGTTGTTGTTCTTTATTGGGACACAGGCTTTTTACCGTTTGACATTCAGTTATGCAGGATGCAAGTACAAGCTTGAGTCCTTACCCAAAAAGTCCCAGATGAAGACATTTTTAAAGAGTCGCGGTGATTTGAAACCGTGCTGGAAAACTTGCTCCAGAGCCCAGACGAGGCCGTACTCCCCACAGAGCAGGAGGGTCAGGCTGCCTCTCTGTGGAGAGCAAAAATACATGCATGCATTTAGAGCTCATTTCAAGTTGCCTCAAAATAGCTGACTGTTTCCCTGAAAATGCCAATTTAATGGATCAGCTATCCCATTAAAATGCCAAACCACCTTCCAAATATGTTGCAGGAACACACAATGGAAAGGATCATTACTCCACAGCTTTCTCTGTGGTCATATTTAAATGAATGAGAACTCCAAAACATTTAAATCATCATTAAACTAAGAGACCATACACACACAGTATAGTAGGACACACGGGAGAATACAAAGCAGACTTCAACGTTATTGTTCTGTTGGGGTGTTAAGGAGGTAGAGCAAAAGTGAAGGGGAATTCCCAGTAAAAAATCCTTTGAAACTATAATGAATGACTTTTAAAGCCTGTAATCAGCAGCTAAGTTACAACACACTTTAAAAATCTTCAATTGCAGTTCTCCTTCTCCACCTGCCCGACTATGTAATAATTATCAGCATTCAAGTTCTATTTTAGTTCCTCCAGAAGAGGAAAATTAACAGACAGCACTCTAGGTCAAAATAATAATAATAACAAGCTAAATAAGATCATTAAAAAACAGCACAAATCCCTCTTTGTTATATTTGAACTATAATACAGGCAGAACAGTTACTGAGGGGGGCTGGGGCCACCGGAGCAGGCGGCTGCTTTTTTCCCCCATTTGTGATGAATAATAGAAGTACATGTTTGGGCCTGTCTAGACTGCAGTCTCTCACCTCCTTCTCTGGTTTGTGGAAGTGCTTTACAATCCCATTGATGGCCTCTCCCACTCCCTCCTGGATCTGACCTGTGTTTAGCTCTGAATGAAAGAAAGAAAAAAAAAGTTCAACAAAGATACTCAGAGACAACACAAGCAGACACATGAAGGTAACTCCCAATCCAGGTTTAAAACAATTTGTCGTTGTGTTTTCTCGTTCAGGCGTTTTTGGGCCTTTTTTTTTTTTTAAGGCAAGATTTTAATCATTAGCAGGTGAGGAACAGTTAAATCCCACATCAAAGGGTTTTTTTTTTGTTCTTTGTAGAACAAAAAGCTCTACAAACTTACTTGGTTTGCTGTTTGGCGAGATGGTAACAAATCTCCTCATCATTCCCGGGGACTGCTGCATGGGAGGTGTGCGGCACATCCGTTCATCGTTCTCCGAGCTGGGGGTCATCAGCTCTCCCACCAGGATCCTCTCCAGGCTGCCGTCATCCACGCCCTTCCCCAACCAGCGGCCGCACGGAAACCTGCGAGATGAGCACGCAGAGTCAATTTTTTGACAACCAACTGGACAAATCGATATCGGGTTCATTTTTCCACCAGGCGGTAATGCTTACTTGTAAGTGTGCCCCGTGATCTCGTTGCGGACCACAACACACTCCACCAGCCACTTCGCATAGAGCCCTGTGTTATCATGACCCATCTGCACTGTGGTGAGTTTGCCCAGGTTCTGGCACTGAGACAGAAGGACCCAGATTAATGTCAAACACCCAAAAATCACATTTAGACTACAGAGTTTCTAAGATAAGATACAGTCTTTTTTCCAGAAGACATGAAATTCCTGTGTTAGAGAAGCCAGAACATTAAATAGAATATATATCAAAACGCTTTCAATAATCCAAAATAACTCAATGATACACACTTTGTTAGCTACACCTGTAGAACTTCTTGTTAATGCAAATATCCAAGTATCACATGGCAGCAGCTGCTCAATGCTTTCAGGCAAGTAAACATGGTCAAGATGACCTGCTAAAGTTAAAACTGAGCATATCAGAAACTGATCAACTAGATAAGTTGTTCTTAAACAACCTAAGGTTTAGAGCCTAAAAGAGAGACTACTGAGTGAGCACCAGTTCTGTGGGTGAAAAAGCCTTGTTGACCCCAGAGGTCAGAGGAGAATGGCCGGACGGATTTGAGGTGAGAAGGAGGAATTAATAAGTCATATAGTGATATTTTTACAACAAAGGTATGCAGACGAGTGATTTTTGGATGTACAACATGTCGAACTGTGAAACAGATGGGCTGCAGCAGCAGAAGACAACAAAAGAATGGAAAAATGTTGCCTGGTCTGACGAGTCTTTTGCTGCAATATTCAAACGGTAGGGTCAGAATTCGACATGAGCAACATGAAAGCATGGATCCATCCAAACTTGTATCAGTGGTTCAAGCTGCTGGCGGTGGTATAATAGTTAGAAGGATATTTTCTCGGGATATCTCGACCCCGATACCAAGTGTGTACAGTGATCCCTCACTATAACACTGTTCAACGCCTCGCCGTTTGGCAGATTTGTTTTTTGTGTGTGCAATTTGCATGCTTTTTGATTTTTTACAGCGCATTTTTAATCAGTCTCCTCCGTGCCGTGTCTCCTTTACAGTACAGAATGCGTTCAGCTTGTCAAATTTACATAAATCTTTGATCGCTAGCAGTGTTACTCTGAAGTGCTGTACTGTATGTTTGTAAGTGTTCTCCCCAACATACACAACAATGTCAATGAAACGTTTTGCACCGTCAAAGGCACCTGCGGTAGTGAGGGGTTTTACAGCCGTAAAACATCTATAATAATTTTAAAAAATAAAGTTGGCTACTTCACAGATTTCACCTATCGCGGGTTATTTTTAGAACGTAACTCCCGCAATAAACGAGGGACCACTGTGTTGTAAAATGCACTTGAACTGACTACTCAAACGGCCTCCACAGTCACCAGATCTCAATCAAATATGGGATGTGGTGGAACGAGAGATTCACATCAGAGATGTGCAGCTGACTAATCCGCAGTAACCGTGTGATGCTATCATGTCATAATGGAGGAAAATCTCTGAGGAATGTTTTTACCACCTTGTTGAATTTATACCATGAAGATTAAAGACAGTCTTGCAGACAAAAGGGCGTTCGACTAGTACTAGGCAAGGTGCGACTACAATACAGGAGGTTAAGAAGTAAAATTCTAAATAAAAAAGCTGAATATAATACAATAAAGTAAATAAGCTTAAAAATATAAATAAAGAAAGAATAAAAATCGCTTGCTAAATATAATAAAAACAAGCACAGCAAATGTCAGGTGGCATTAAAGTGACTGAGTATACAGAGAGTTTAAAGTGCAGGGTTGAAATATAGCTAACGAGATGAGAGAGCAGATAATTCTTTGCTAGAAAAACGTGTTGCATGTGAAGAGTTATTGCACGAGGTATGAAATATTTCCTGTGGCTATCTTTATTGAAGTGGAGCTGAACAACTCTGTGTTTACATCTCTGGCTTCTTTGCACAGTTGGAGGAGAAACGTTTGAAACAAAACACCATTACACCAAAACAGTGTGGCAGAGAAAACAATGACGGCAGTCAAATTGTTACCTGTGCAACTCATCCAGCAGCACAACTGATTCATTTTAGCATGAAGTGCTGTGAAACTGGACATTTTTCCTAGAGTAAGCAATTTAAATCAGAAGTCTCAGAGTTTGTGTGCCCAGGGGTCTTTCATCAGGGAGAGTTTCTAGGGACTCATCATTGTAATCCAGGTAAAGCTGGTTTGCTTTTGAGTTACATGCTTGCTGCCAATTACTCAGGCTACACAGCACTTAGAACAGTTTGGGAGAAATGACATTTGTTGAGTTATTTATGACAGATGATCAGCTTCTACTAGAGAGAGCAATAACTGTTTTATTAGTGCAAACGGTTCACATTTATATACATGCACTTTTTAATGATAGACCACTGTTTTATTATAAGTGGATTACTTTGTGGACCCTTCAGCTATTGCTTGCAGATATCAGCCGATATCAAGTCCCTGGGGTCCAAATTTGATAAACATTGATTTAGATAATATGGTTAGTAACAGAGTTATATTTCTTTCCATCTGTGCTGTTTTCTTCCCTAATTGCAACACTTACTTTTTTGCAAATTTACTTACTATATTATCCAATTAAGAACCCAGTTGTAATGCAGTGGAATTAGCCTTTATATGAGAATTAATACCAACCTCAAAAGTAATCTCCAGAGTATTTCTGGGGACCTGCAGGACTCCGGTCTCCGCCAGCTCACCAGAAACACACACCCAAGGGTTGGCTGTGAACATGGAGCCACCCAACTTCTTACTCGGAACAACCACCACGTGGTAGGGGATCACTGAGAGACAGAGGGAAAACAAAGGTTACACAATGAACTGAAATCCATAAAAGCTGGTTGTTCATGGAGTGCAGGGTCAGGCTCACTGATGGTTGTGAAGACGTTGGTGAAACAGAAGTAATCCACAGCATTAAAGGACAGGAGGTGGTAAAGAAATTGCTCCTTCTCATCGTCACAGCGCAGGAAGGCGTAGCGCTTGTATAGCTTCCTAAAAAGAAGAAGATTGTTAGAGAAATGAAATTATTCCGCTATGATTACAATTAAAAGATAATAATGCCTTGGTATATACAAGAAGCACAAGACATGATCATTTTTGTGGTAAATGGATGACAAAGTGCACACTGTTTAGCATTAGGTGAAATAAATACCACTGTAAGGTCAATAAAAAGGCAGACAGAAATCCCCTGACCCACTTTAGTACTCAGATATCAATTATGAAGAAAACTGTGAATTATTTATGTAGAGAGGAACTATAGCATGATGCTCTGAAATTTCAAGAGACTTAATGCATTATAAATGGTTAGATCACATCTTCATTTCATATGACACAGACATTGCTTCACAAAACAAAGAAAGAAGGTCAGATGAGCACACACAGCAGGAAGAAAAACAAATCCAAAGACCTTTAATCTGCATCAGCGTGACTTATTGCAGTTGTTCTGACAAATAGTGACCCTGCGATAAATGGAAGCACATATAAACTCTGCTGTTTGTGTCCTTTTGCTCACTTTGTAAGCTCGTGATCTGAAAGCAGCTGCTTCAGGTGTCTGGAAAGGAGCTTCTTCTCCATAGAGAGGCGAACCCAGGCTCGGGCCTTGCCCACATCTGTCTTAATCTCACTTATGTTCTGAATGTGCCTGCAAATAAAAAATAACAACAGATTTAGAGATTACAGGGAGGAAGAACTGATGCTAGTTATCAGACATAGAAAAATTAGATTCCTGCAGTGTCACAGAAGTGCAAGGACAGACAATACTTCAACATCTATATCTATTCCAGTCAACAATTCCAGTCAATTTTATTCATATAGAACCAAATCACAACAGAAGTCTCTTCAAGGTGCTTTATATTGTAAGATAAATACCTTACAATAATACAGAGAAAGCCCCAACCATCAAACAATCCCAATGAACAAGCACTTTGAGGACAGTGGGAAGAAAGAACTCCCTTTTAACAGGAAAAAACCTCCAGCAGAACCAGGCACAGGGAAGGGCAGCCATCTGCCGTGACAGGTTTGGAGTGAGAGGATGAAGAGAGCCAGAGATGAATAATAATTCATGATTAAATGCAGAGAGGTGTGTAAGCACATTAAGAGTGAAGAAGAACTAAAAGTCTGATATCTGACATGAATATATCTTGTTTGCTCTCAGTGGAACAACCAAGGTGATATGAATGGATTTATACAGGTGAACACACAAGTGTGTTGTCTAAATTTAACTGTGTAAACTTAAATTAATTTCCGCCAATCTGGAAACCAAGCTGCCATCGCCTGATGATTTACTGTCTGGGGGCAATGGACAAATGTTTCCAGGCTCCTGGTGTAGCTAAATATTTTCTGGATAAGAGATACTTTATACCAGGCCGAAGACCTCCTGCTCAGTCCACTCATGTTTCCAGTCATTTCTTTATATGAAAACCTTTTTTTTTAAGTGAATAGAAAGCTAAATAGCTAATAGCATTTTTAGAAATGCACTCTTGCTCTCTGTACAGACCATTTGATTGTATGTAGCCAAAGTTCACACTCACGTAGTTGTTGCAGATTTATATGCAGAATCTTCTTAAAGAGAATCAGATTTAACAATTCAACTCAAAGAAAGAAGCAAAAATAAACAAATGTTGACATTTAAAAAGCTTCAGCACCCTAAAAGAATATTAAACTATCAACATTGTAAGAAACTGACAAATGAAAAGGCTGTATTAATTAAATAAAAAAATACAAATTTCAGCATTGCCTGCCCCAGTCTGACAGATAATTAAATACAAAGTGTCCTGAGATGCTGTGACCTGGCTCTGTGTAAATAAAACTGTAACTGATGTTGTTACACACAGACCGAAGTCTGTCTCTGTTCGCCCCATGTGATGTTTCCGCCGTGGCCGTCTCGCCCCCGTGCCATCGCTCCGAGCCACTATCACGTCTCTGACGTCCAGACACATTTCCTTCCACTCCACCTGTGCCATACACGCTTCTTCTCCACCTTCCATCCCCCTCCCCGTCTCCACCCTCCACGCCCAATCACGTCAAGTAACCCAGTTTTCTGTGCTCGTTATCGCCATAGCAACAGTGGGAAACACCTACTACATGAAATGTTATTATTAACGCACTGCAACACACGCGAAGCTTTAAAAATGTGAGATTAACTCCCTGTTAGGATTAAAGGAAGTATTATGATGGTGGTTGCGTCTTTGCCACCGTGTCTGTGCCGTCAGACGTTTACGTGAATGCGGAGGAGGGTCCGTCCACCAGTGCGGAGTCGAGCTGCATGTTTGTGCCCCAAGTTGACCCCTCCTCTCCTTTCCACTCAGTCAGACTGGCGGGGGGTCTGGTAATTAGGCTGGAAGTAACACGCTGTTACACATACACACACTTACGCTGTGTTGTCTTCAAACAACGCAACCCCAGACTCCTCAACCCTGGCTGGTTATGGTGGGTAAACATGACGAAAGTGATGCAGACACACACATACACGCATGTTGAAGCATGTAGATATAAAGCTGTCGATGATGTTAAAACTCTTGGTTTTTAAAAATAATAGACCAGATGACAACATTTTGATCAAATTGGGGCAACAAGGCTGGCCTGAGGGTCTGGGATGGTGATCATGTGAGGGTTTTTCTGTATGTCGTGTCCTCTCTCCATCTATGCAGTCGCGTATCTCACAGGCTCCACAAAGGTGAAACTGCTTTTTGTATAGCACGACTACTACAGACAAAATACTCACCTTTATGCCTTTTTTGTTTTTAATATGAGAGTCTACACATGTATATATGAACTGTATAATTATGTGGGATATATATTTATAGGTTATTTTATTTAATTTTGTCCTTTATTTGATTTTTTCTGTACTGCCTTTTTCTGGACCTTTGCAATCCTGGATTTTTCTAACAGCTTACAAATTATCTTTATTTTGTTATTATTATTATTATTATTATTATTATTATTATTATTATTATTAACTAAAACATACAGTTATAATATGCATAGCAGAGGTGGATCTGGATGTTCAGTGCAGTGGTAGGGATTAAAAAATAAATAAATAAATTCCGATTAGCAAAATAACATCACAGCATTTAAGCAGAATTACTTCATGCTTTTGTTTATATCATAAAACTCATAAGAAAATCCTTCTCTAAATATAGATGCTATTATATTAAACTAATGGTATTCTTGCAAATACTGCTGGTTTTATAGTATTTTGTTTGGAGAGACTATAGTAATAATGTAACCCACAGTGAAATCCGCAAGTTTTATGTGTGTGTTATTTCAGGATATTGGAATTTTGGACGCATGAGGATACACAGGATCAGCCCAGATTATTATTAAAGGGATATAATAACAATATTGTGTTCAATGGTCTACCACAGGGGGGCAGTATTAGTCTAAAATACATTGGTCTGAAGGTGCCCATTTCCAGAACATCTTTGAGTACTTTTGAGTATGAAATGATTTCATTCCTCTTTTATTCCTTCGCTGAGGTGCACATTTCTGCAGATGCCTCACCTCATGTCCTGGATCAGGGAGATTTTCAGGGGAGGCATAACCGATCCGCCGCCGTCAGATTTACGTCTCTCGGTGTCATGAATGAACCCTGGAGTAAACGAAAGAAGCGTAACTGAAGCAGAAGCCATCGGTTTGTTAAATGACTGTGATCATCAGCTGAAAGGATTTTTGTTCTTACCTGGAGGCCCTAAACTACCTGGAGTTGCATTTTTCTTCTCTTTGCTGTCCTGGTAGTGCAGCAGGTGGGACCACAAGGCAGATTTACCCTTAAAAGAAAGAGAGAAAACCGGCATTAGTGCTACACTTCCCCCGAGAGCACTGCATGTTAAAACGGGTGTGCATGCTGACTGCAGTCATTTCTTTTTCTTTCCTGACCTGTTTAACCTGCAGCCCGTGGCTCCAGATTCTCTCCAGCAGGTCACAGAGACTTGCAATCAGGGTGTTTTCCTCAACACCGGTGATGCTGACCTCTCCGTGGCCCAACTCCACAGCCTCGCGCCCCATCTTCTCTACCAGCATACGTTTGGTCTGCAGAGAGACAACAATTCAAACCTAATATTTGCTTCTGAGCAGCCGAAAGAAATACCTTAAAAACAGACGATTCGTGTAGGTAGAAAATGCTTTATTTTGGGTTTTTGTTATGTTTTGAATATTGGTCATAACTCTAAATAACACTGCATTAACAGCATTTAAAGAGCGTTAAAGTAGCCAAAGAGAGCTTCATCCCAAACTTCAATCATAACTGAGTTTTATACGTGATGAGTTTTAATCTGTGAAACCAAAAACTGGTAATAGGCAAACCTTGTTTCTGCACTCCTTTAGCAATCCTTCAACAAATTTCCAGTTAGTCTGAGCGATGACAGACGGTGACAGGTTGGACAGTTTAGGCTGTCTGATGGTTGTGCCCAAGTTTCTGGCTTCCTGGATGTATTTCTGATGAAAGACAGAGGATTTAGTTAGCGAGTACAATAACGTGTGCTCATGTCACTACATCTACAACAAATAGCTCTGTGGTTAGACACAGAGCTGGTGTCGCTCTGTATGGGAATATTAAATCGAAACACGTCCTACAGTTTAAACTACAAGGATCAAGATAGGTCACAATTTTGAAGAAAATTGATAAAATGAAGCTGCATTTTAATTACGTCACTGCTTATCAGTTCCACCTCCTAAACCCACACCTGACACACACAAAAGTAACACTGATACTCAAACAAAGCTCAGCTGCTGTACGTGAGGAAAGCAGATAGAGGAAAAGACCACATGCGTGGACAGGTACTGCGCTCTACGGACAACCAACACATACCACGTCCACAGTCACCGACTTTAGACAGGGCTTGAAGGACTGCGAGAGCCAGTAGTAGTCAAGAAACAGCAGGAGCTGGAGCTCCGGAAACAAACACTCTACATGCTGTGAGTGTGAGGGCGTGAGTGTAAGGCAAGCAGAAAAAGAAAAGAAATGAAATGTGTGAGAACAGGTGTAAGAGCAGACATTGATGGGAAGAGCAAACAGACAAGAGATCATGCAAAATGACATCAAAGCTCAAGCAGTCCATCTGTGTGAAGGAGCTGATGAAAGAAAACACTGTGGGGGCGCTCTCACCTCTCTCTGGTCATTGTCTAAATAAAGGTGCTCAGCGTGCTGCTTCTGCCGATCCCTCCTCCTCCACTGAGCCGGAGCGCTCCTCTTGGCCCATCTGTAACACAGAAAAAGAAACAAATGTAAAACAGCCATCAAAGCCACACATCAAAGGTTTATTTCAAATATACACTAATCACAAGGGGACAGAGACAGTAGTGAGCTACAAATACTCACTTGTTGCTGGTGGGTCCAGTGGAGAGCACATCAGACTGCAGTCGGGGGAAGAAGCCCTGCTCGTAGCGCCCCTGGCCGATCTTCATGTCCAGCAGGTGGGGGTGCAGGGCAGTGTGGTCGATCTTTGAGACTCTCATCTCAATGGCTTTCTCTGTGGAGGTGTGTGAGGGGTACACAAGTCAGCAGAGGGATTATATCATCATGTTTCAAAGTCACCCTACTTTTACTGCTGAGATGTGTGCGTTTGATTAAATGTCTTCGTTCTATCTTACTCTTGAATTTAAAAGATGATCCGGTGAAGAATTTTACAAGTTATTCCAGCATCTAATACAAAAAAATCCTTTAGGATTGAAAAGATAAAAAAAAGAAAAAAGAAAAGAAAAACAGTCCCAATAAAATGATTTAATGGATATCCTGACTTCAAAATTCCAGGAACAACTGGAGTAAATAGAACAGGTTCATTGTTATACCAACCCTGTCAAGTTATGTTGTGAAATTCAGATAATGACTAAGAACTTTTCATTTCAAATTTAGAAACCAGATGACAGCAGAAAAGAAAAGAAAAAGCACCCACAGAACCAAGAGAAATGACAGAAAAAAGGCTCAGAGCAGATGTTTTGTTGTCTTCAAAAGAACCAGCCGAGTCATGCAGCTTTACACAGTGAGTTTTTTGATGCTTTATTAAAAACACCCCCCCACACACATGGGCTGTGTGAGGAAAAGCTCCCACGAGGTTAGAGAAACAGAGAGAAAAATAATACTACTTCCTGTTGTCCATCAAATGGCAATAAAAAAAAAAACAAAAGCCAAAAAAAAACAGGGGGTGTGAGATATTTGAAGCTGCAAAAGCGCAGCATGAAAACGGTGGAAAAACACCGGCTGGGTGAAGTTGGAATTCACATAAATGTAATTTCCTGTATAGGACTCATCATCAACCCTTTACCTGTATGTGTTACATTATAGCTGCAGGAAAGGCTTTGTTAACCCTTTGAGATATACTTTGAGTAATTTGACCCGATTTAAAATTAAAATGAGGAAAAGAGACTGTCTTTTATTTACTGACAAAAATGACTTTCGATTATGTATTGGAGCCTGCTTCGAGTCCTTTTGAATTAAATTTGGCCATCACTGATGTCCAGTGATGGCAAAACAGACGTAAATCATGACATTAAACCTCATAATAAGCTTCCTAAGTTACTCAGTAAGGGCTAATTCTTGCACAAATATCTCAAAAGGGTTAGAAAACTTTTTCCTGCAACTATATCAGTAACAATAACAGATCACCAAGCTTTGGAAAAACTGTCACGTGTGCAATGCAGTGAGGATCTCATAGAGGAATTTTTTATTTTACAGTAATATGTGAAAAGTTCATGGTAACCTTTGCTTCATCTCTTATTCACCCCCTTTCTCTTTTCACATTCTCCAGACTCAGCAGAATGAGCAAGAGCATCCGTCCATGCTTTTAAAAGCTTTCCTGCATAAACCACTGCCAGTGTGACTTATTCCAAATACAAGGTTAAAGGAAGTCTATACTTCCTCTATGAGCCAACCTAACTTAACACATTGCACACATAATTGAAAGAACCACCACCCTAGATTGGTTGAGATAAAGAGAACAAATATTACGAAATTCGGTCTCGGCCTTCTCCGGCTCAATGACATGAGGTCCAGGAGCGATAAAGTCAGCTTTTTCGAGACGCTTTTTTAACAGGGTGTCTGCAAGCAAGACAGCAACAACCAGTCAGGTAACTAAAGACAGCAAACCTCCAGAGGTCTGTCAGATTCGTACATGACTACACTGCAGATTATTGAGTTCTGCAGTTTTAAATGCTTCTTTAATTACAATCACAAACATTCAGAGGTTCATTTCTTTTAATAGTTTTAAATTAAAGACACTCCAGTGAAGCTGTTCATTCTCAATGAATAACCTGCAACTTTATTAAGTGCAAACCTATCAAGAGTTTTCTCAGAATGAGAGGAGTTAAGAGAGCCAAATTAAAACATTTGGAGCTTTGAAAACAATCCCACCATATAGACTAATGTTCCTCCTTTTCCTCCTCACCTGCTTCTTCGATGTTTGTGCACTTCTGATACATAGAAGTACGCAGCGTGGGCGTGCGCACGTTCAGCATGCGGATCTTATCCACGCGAGCATCAAACACCCTCAGCGTATGCTCCTTCTCCTCGTCATCGTGACAGAGGATCTTACTGTCGATGAAGGACGCAAACATCTGCGTCTCCAAGAAACGTGACAGGAAGGGCAGGTAGGGTTCTGGTTGGTCAGACAGGAAGGAGGCCTGCACACAGACACACAAGTACAAGATATAAAGATTACATATATATTATGCTAAATCATTACTATGCTTTGCTAACAAAGCAGCTTTACCTTGTCAAAGTTCTGCATCTGGTCTCGATTGGTGAACCAGGACTCTTTGTCATGACTCGGCTGGATGACAAACACCTCATAGTCTGCAAACATCTGGGTGAATCGGTTAGCGAAGACCTCGCGCACCTGGATGTTGAGCTGGTGCATTTTCAACTCTTCCTCGTCACACTGAACACGCCCATCCTTGTTGCTGCTGGCATCCTCTCTGACCTCCAGCTGATGTGCATAAACATTAAGAAACATTGTTGTAAATGCTGGTTTTGACCGATTACAATACAAAAGAACACAAAGTAAGAAGGGTCCGAAAAAAAGGAAAACGCTCATTCAATGAAGAAAAGAAGCAGAAGCACATCTATTTTTCACGTCACCTCTTGTGACTTTTATCACATTTATAGTGATGAAGAAGTAGGGTCATGGGAAAGATAGCCAAGGACATGAGTCTTGATTTATGACCTCATTTTAACTGAACATGTCAGCATGTCAGCTGGACAGATGCCAGCGCCAGGCAGCTAAAATAACAGAGCAGGGCTGCCGCTGTGCAGGAAAATATCCACTGACGTGACCTGGAACGCCATTTAATCAGGGCCTTGTTTCTTTAATAGGAATTCAGCCTGCCTTTAGATAGGAATAATTATAAGTAAGGTCAGACCTTGATGATGCGCAAATCCATTCAAGGAAAGCTAATGTTGCCCACAACAGCATAAGCTGCTTACGCTGTACAGAGGCCTTCTCGAAGCATCCATTGAATTCATCCGTCAGTCTTTAGACTGAGTGCCTCTTATTCATGTACCGCAAAGCTGAAAAATAGTCACACGACTCAGAAATGAGTTGGTGTATTTAAAAGGAAGAGAAAATATTTTAAAAAGCAAACCACCTCCTTTTGTGTACTGACAAAACATGTATGTTTGTGGTGTAAGAGGGCGCCACCTTATGTTTGCTGTCCCTTACTGCAACGATGCTGCTAATAACTGATGGTTATAGATGCACTTTAACTCAGATTTCACTCATCAATATAAATTCTAAGAGTTAATTACCTACTTATAGAAATATATTAATTCCAGAAGAAAATGTACTTTTACTGCAATGATTTTTCTACCAAGAATGGGACCATTAAATATTTTAAGCTGAGCTCCTGTCCTAAAAATTAAAACTTTTCAAATGAATTTCCAGTTGTCAATAAATTCATTAATATAAATATATTCGTAGACCTGGTGCCCAATCTATAGTTCCTATTTTTACTTACTTAAATGATCAGTCTTGGTGATGTAACTAAGCCCAGTGAGTCACACGTGGTTATTTTTGCAGCCCGTTTTAATTAACGACATTACATCATTTCTCACCTTGTCTAAGCTGACACCTGTCCGCTTGACCAGAGCCTGCAGTCTGGCAATTGTCTCATTCTCTCTCAGCAGGTAGGAGTTGAGGGGTGAGGCCAGATTGCCGTTACGCTTGTCAGAGACCATATCAGCTGCTCGGAAGCCCCGGTACTTGGCCTGGCTGTCGCTGGAGTAAACGTTTCCCTCTGGAGACACGCCGAAGGACATGAGCACCTCGGAGATCTCCTGAATGAACTCGAGTTTGTTGGGAAACTGTGGCAACTCCTCTGGCAGTTCAATGAAGTGATTATCAATGTCCACAAAACACAAGTTTGCCTGGAATAAGAGAAATAGCAGAGTAATAATTATATTAAATTTAACAAAGCTTTACAGACAGTTATAGTATTGTAATATTATAGATCCTGTTTTTATAATTTTCATTCAGTTGGACAGCCCAGCCCCCTGAATTAAAAAGGTCATTGATGACTGAAAATAAAGCTGACACGATCAAAAGAGCAATAACTGACTCTGAAATACTCTGCTATACTTAGTACACTGTGTAGGTTATACGAAGAAAAGGTCTAGTTCAATTCAGTTCATTTCCAATTCAGGGTCGCGGTGGGGAGGAACTTATCCTAGCTGCCATAGGGCACGAGTGGGTTACACCCTGAACAAGTCACCAGTCTCTCGCAAGGCCCTGACCCAGAATCTGGTTGTTTACAAGATATTAATCATCAGTGAAAGGGATGATCATCATTCAGCCATCCCACAGCCCAGTCACGAACGGCTCTACTTCACCTAGACCAACTGAAGACCCACACTGCTATGACATTAGTGCGTCTATGCTTTGCACCAAACACTAACTTTTATGTTTTCTCATACTGAGCAGCATTATTATTGCAACAACACATCATCACACCAACAGAGCATAAGGCTGAAATGAAATAAAAAATATCAAGCAGCAAAGCACAAATCAAATCAGTGCAGAAGCTGCAACACAGTTTGTGAGATAAGAACAAATAAAACCATGAAATTAAAGATTTGGTTTCTGGAGCGGTAACACAGTCAAATATTAGACATGACGAAGGTTTACACTCAGTAACTAAGACACTGCTCTCTGAATGTACCTCCTGTGGCAGCTCTAGCTTGGTGCGGTCATCCTGCCCATTGGAGTGGAGGCCCATTAGATACGGCACAGGAGCATCGAGGAAATGGAGAAGGGAGGCGGGCAGGATGGGAACGTACACATGCTGCCACTGGAAGGGGAACATTAAGGCTGTGATGCTCTCTGCCACCGTCATCAGCCTCTGGTAATCTGTTACACACAAACAGACAAAAGATAAAGATGGGTGTTTTTTTTAGCAAATACAGCTCTGACATCAGGTTCATCGTCTGATCTGATAACCGATCAAATCTTTAAAATCTTGGTTGATCGTTGTCGTTTCCCCCATTAGGAAATTTACCAAATGCTGATGCTTTTATGCATTTACTAAACAAAATATATTGCACAACACTTCCCCCATATCTGAAACCTAAACAATACTCGAGCCAGTAAACAGCGTATGACAGAGGTTACGCAACATGAATGTTATTTTAATAGGATTACATTGTTATTGCCTTGTCTTCTGTTTGCTCTCAGAGTTTGAAATCCATCAGCTGCACCACATGACGAGACAGCTAATCCTGCTATGTTTGCAGTAGCAGTGTTATATATGACCTTTCATCTGCTTGATCACTTATTGGCTGGGGTCAAAAGGTAAAACATGGCTGATGGTGGCAGTTTGAGGGCAGATTCAGTATCGACGGCACATGTGAGTGACCTAACTGGAGTGTTTGTACTTTGTTACAAAACTCTTTTGTTATTCTCTGTTCTGTACTTACAGGAATGAGCTGGATTGATTACCAACCTTTAAGGAATTAGCTGTTATGACACACAGAATGTGGATCCTGTCTACCTTTATGGAGCAAACTCGCTGTACCAGAATGACAGGGAATGACTTCTGAAGAGCACAGTTGATGTATCCTGAGCAGCCCTGGGTGCTTTATTATCAACTGAGACCTGAATCACTTTAAGTATGGTATTTGTTCCTTGTTGCAATGCCACTCTAAATGACAGCCTATTACACACAGCATTTTTAAGGCACCAAACTAGAGATAAACTGGCATATTTCTCTTGCCTGATCACACATTAAGTTTTGGTTCCTTCCTACTCCACTGGAGGGCCTTTTGTGGCGTCTTTTGGAGGATCCAGACTCTGAAGTGTGACACAGCTTGCCAGCTGGCACTCTGGCCAACATTAAATTCCTTTATCATGACTCCACACAGCAGTACTCCTCCGAGTTCAGGCTTTTGCACTTGAGCCAACTGGTATACATGTAAATATATGTCCAGTCCTTCTCATCTGCATTCCTCTTCTATCCCGCTGACACCTACTGCAGATTCGGGAGCAGCTCTGCCTCCCCTGGTATGGTGCCAAAATAAATACCTTTCCTTCATTTGGTCATGTGCTGGTCCATGAGAAGAGACTCTCACCCCAGCCTGGGCCTCTCCCTCATCCCTCTTCTCAGCAGGCTTCCTCTCCCAGGATGGGGACATGAATACTAACATCACCCATCTCCTTCTTAAACTAGGCCACTGACAAGAAACCACTTGAACAAAGGGTCAAGCATTGTCGCTTACACCTAAAGCTGCATGACCTCATCAGTTTAGAATTAGCCACACTGAGCAGTGGTAGAAGCTGTGGCGGAAGAGTTCGCCTAGTGAGGGTAAATTATGAAGTACAGCAGGTTTAAAATATACACGACATAGAAGTGAAACTCAGCACTGTTCTGATCGAACAACTTCCTGCAGCAGTCTCAGATTGTGTCACTAACAGAGGGCACTTGCTAGTTTTGAGCCATTACTATATTAGCAGTGATTAACAGGGAATAAACAAGATAAAACACTCTGTGCTTTCTCTGCAGATGTAGATTCGTTTAGAATAAGGAAGAACCTTTGTGACATTTTGGGCTGACACAGATCCTAAAGATATCATTTGCTGCAGATTTTATTTTGTTCTATGGAAACAAATTCAAAAAAACTCTTTTGATGTCTTTTGGGTCTCCATACCACCTTTAAATATTTAGCTAATGTCACACAACAGATAACATCGGTCACTCATTTTGGTAAATGTCATTTTATTTGCCAGTAGGCACAGATCAGTCAGGAGTGATGATATGAACCAGTTGATCTTCAAGCCTGACTACAGTTGTGGTCATGGGCACAAAATACCATGACATTCATGGGCATGAATGTCAAGGTATTTTAGACTTATGATTTCTTTTCCCAGGGTGGAGTGATTGTACAGCATACACGTTTAACTACTTTAAAAAAATAAACTGGGTGCACACGTTTGAATTTATTTGGATTATAATTTTTTTTTTTTTTATTCCCACAGGGTCAAACATACTTAATATTAAATGCAAACTGCACTTCAACCAGGCGCTCTTGGTAGCTATAAAGAAGAATACTGGGTGGATATTTAACCGGTCTTCTTGGCAGAATTGGTAGAGTTCCTGGCACAGAGTCAACTGACGATCCTGGAATCTGCAGTTGTTTAGAAATGGCTCCAAGAGATTTTCCCAATGTGTAAATCTACATTTCTCTTAGATCTTCACCAATTTCCTTGGACTTTCTCATTGTTCTGAGTATTGCTTAATCTGATGAGTTCTGTCAAACAAGTCTGTTGCTGGCACAGAGAAAATATATTGTAACGACTAACAAGAAGTTAATAGACCTTGGTCTTGTCAAGTTTAAAAGCATTTTAGAACCTCGTGCACCATTTATTAAAAGATTAAGGTGAATACAAGTATACCTTTGAACCTGTATTCATAATCTTGACCCTTTAGACTGTAGATTAGATAAAATCCAAAATAAATTAAAACAATGAATACTGTACAATCATTCCACCCTAGAAAAAGAACAGTTCAAAGAAATCAGTAAAAGCTCACAGTACCACGACATTCGCCCAAATTTATGTAAACTTCTGACCACAACTGTATAAGAGAGAGATCCTAGATCAGATGCTCAGTTTTTACTATGAATAGCCTAGGACACTAAATATTTTAAGTATAAACCGATATAATTTTCTTGATTTAAGTGACTCGGTCCCCTCACAACAACAAAGACTACAAGATTTTTCATGGAAAAAACTATGAAAACTATGATACACTGGAAAGCTGGCATTGTTTAATGATTATTTGTGTGTTGCTAAAAGCCCAGCGTGATTATGTATGATAGTGCGGCAGCCTTAAAACACAGAACGTGCAGACAGGGGCGCAGCGTTGTTTTTAAACTTGATTTGTTAAATAGTAAATGGACTGATGCTTTCTCTCACTGAGCACTCAAAGCACTTTCTTATTGCAAGTCACATTCACACAAACATTCATGCAGTGCTTTACTCTATGCTTCAAGGACACTTCAACATAATGACTGGAGGAACTCTGAGCTGGACTCTACAACCTTCATGATTTAATCTACCTCAGACCTGTGCATTTCTCCTTCACACCCTTTTGTCCCTCTGACTTCACCTTCACATTCGACTTCAATAATCTTATGTCAGAAAATGACCATAAAAAGTGGCATCTTAATTGTAGTAACAACACACATAGTAGTGTTAGTGTCTGGGAAGGACAGGAAGGAACAGATTGTATTTGAACATCTTGTCCTCTACAGCTTTGTGGAAAAGATGCTATCTACGCTGTTTTTTTCCTTTAATCAGAATTTCAGTGTTATTTTTAGCACATGCCACACATTGTCGTCTCCTTATTTGCAGAGCATCCCCCGCCTCGGTGTGTGGTGTCCCTTCGTAAAAATCCCTCAGCTCTTCCTCAGTGGCAGATTGCCAAGGCTTAACTCTCCACAACACCCTTCACATGTTCTGCAGTGATGAGCCTTATGGGGGTGAATAGAGGCATGATGTCACTTCCAACCAATAATAATCATCCTGCATCACTTCTCTCCTCCCTGTCTCCGGGTTGCCTAGCAACACCACAGCTTTCCCCATTAAGAGCTTCTCCCTCCTGTGGGCCCTGCAGTTTTGTAAACCATTTGCTTTCGCTTGCAATTGTAATGAATCCCATCAGAACATCAGATCCATCCTTAAGGGATCGCCAAGTTTCTCTGTGCACACGCACGCACTTTCTCTCAATGGTGAACACTGAACAAAAACTACAGCTTTCTAGCTAACAGATCCTATAAAATTAGGTAATTGAATGTGAGATGATCATTGTGGACTCGAAACTGATTTGTATTACTACTGAACATTGCTGAAGTAGTTTTTTTAAATTCCTCAGTTGAGCATTGTTTTTCTCAATTGAGCATTTTTCCCAAGGACACAGGATACATAGACTAAGGAAGGTTATCCTGCACGAGATGGTATAATATGCTTAAAACAATTGTTTCAAACACCAGATTCCTCTGAGCAAGGCTTCCAAAACCTTGGAAATTTCTCTCTCAAACAATCCCCTCTTCCCTTCATTTCTGACAACATTTCTTACACCTGTAATGTCAATAGCAAGGTACTATGCTGCCTACCAGGGAATTCAGAACATTTTTCTAATAACTTTATCTGTATGGCAGCCAGCTGTTTATAGTAGAAACACATCTGATTTCTGATATGGACAATATGTTGTGAAAATGAGTTCTGACCAAGATTAACATAGGCCGTATTATTATTATTAGACCATATAATGTTTTACATTTTCTTCCTGTAACTAATAATAACGACACGGTGAGACTAAATATGACTGAAAAGACTAGAATGAATACACAGTGTAACATCATTTTTGTGTGATTAGCAATCTAAGTATTCCGTTTCCTTTGTTTCCTTCAAGCTCCCCAGATAATACCTAGTCTCATGGGATGACAGGGACATGTCCCCCAGCTCCAGAGAGATCTCTTGAGACACGACTTTACTAACAGGATCACATGACCTCACCACCCGCAGAGAAGCAGATGTTTCATATCATTTACAATTAGTTTGTCCTTTCAGCTATTTAGAAAACATGTCCAATTTTAATGAACTGTACGAACTAATGTTAAATTCAAGCCTGACTACAGTATATTTGCATATATATTTGACACTTATGCACGTGGATGATGAACATGTGTTTAGGCCAGCAGACCAGCTACTTACGCTGTGAGTAGAGCAGTATCTGCATCTCTAGCAGGGCACACGTGAACAGCTGAAGAACGTTCTCCACCCCCAGCAAGTTAAACATTTCACCGATGGCAAAGTCAAAGAGAGGCAGCTCTGATGTGCTTGGCCTCTGGCACACCACAGGCCCGTAGACGCCTGAGAACTTGAGGGATCGCCCAGAAGGTGGCAAGGGAACCTCGTAGAGGATGTTGTAGATGTAGCTCTCTAGGGGAAGGGGTGGGGGTTGTGGGGAAGAGACGGCCTGATGAAGCTGCTGCAGCACTTTGCTGCAGGCCTGAGCGAAGGCCATGGGTGTTATCAGGCAGATGCACTTTGACACGTATAGCGTGTCGCGGCTTATGTCGTACGAGTTAAAACGCTGCAAACGAGAGATGGCGGGCGCGGCGTGGAGCATGGGACGAGAAGGGGTGTGTTGGCGTCTCTGGTCCTCGGGTCCTTGTGGGGAGGTGGGAGTGTGCAAGATATCATACTGCTCTGCGTTGTGCATGTGGTAAAGAGTCTGCATGGCACTGCAGATCTGCTTACTGGTCACCTCCTCGAAGAAGGTGAGGGCAAAGCCATAGGTCCGAGAGCCATCCTCTCTGGTGATGATAAAAGAGTGGAACTGAGGCTCCCGAGAGTCCATCTGCGTCCTGAACGCCAGACCCTTTGGCATACAGAGCTGCAAAAAGGATATACAGGAGAGGATTCAGAGAGCTGAACAAAGACAAAGGGCTCATCATGGAGATGAAACTGTAGCTGGATAGATTCAAATTATTTCCTGCAGATCAAACAGGCATGATATAATGTTTTCATTTCCGAGCTTTAGAGACTGTGGTAGGATCGCTTTCCTCCTCCCGTTGCGTGTCTTTAATTCAAATTAATAATCTCCTGAATCACAGACACAACAGCAAAAATTATTTAAAAGTTAAAACAAAATTACTATCTTCATATCACTAAAACAGTTCACTGCATTCAAAAAATACTTATACATGCTTTATATGGAGAATTGTTGATTTGCTTCTTAACAGATCTATCTTATTCTTAAGGCCTATCAGGATTTTTCCAAGGTCAAAAACCATAGGGGTGCAAGTGATTTGATCATCGCATCAATTTTTCACTGACAGTTCATCACTAGCAGTTATTCCACGCTATGTTTACCTAAACCCTCAATGTTTTTACCACCCTGTCATATGCCAGCTACATCCTTTACTCCCATTAGAGGTCCCTTAAATCGATCAGTTGAGAAAAACTTTGACCTGGGATCAGCCCACTTCATGTAGACGCAGGCTATTTTGTCTGTTTCCTCTCTGAATGACTTTTTAATGTCTCCCACACAGCTGCTTGTCCCTTCCTGTGTGGATGCCCTATAAGAGTATGTGTTACCTAACAGAAATCTCTCTCTTGTTTGTTATTTATGGCCATTTCTATTTTTTCAATATTATATCCAAGTGAAATATTTTTATCGCAGGCCTTTGGTAGAAAGCCAAAAAAAATGTTTAAAATGTAAGGGTTCTTAAGTTGTATCAGCATCATACCATACCATGCCCACTGCATCCTGGTCAAAAGGATTCCACTCGACATTGTCTGGATAATGTGCTAGGACTTTGGATTTAAAGGTTCTCCGCAGTGGACTCTGCTCAAAATTCTCACCTGAAAGTCAAACAAACAGAGAGTGCAGAAAAAAATAAAAGGAAAAAAAAACAGGAGACAAACAGTTAAGAAACCAGATTTCCAGATGCAGACGCAAGAGCAGAACAGTCGGCTTAAAAATGTCAGCTGCAGCTCCAGAGGAAAGAGCACATTAGCATATTTGTCTTGAGAGGAAAATTGTATTGCATCAAATAAAGCTGCCAGCCTCCTGCTGTAGAAGGTAAACAGGAAAATACACTCAAACAGCAGCATTCGATAATTCAAATTAGATCGTAAAAAAATAATGAAATATAGCCAACTTTAACATATCTCGATGCTTCCTGACAGCTTTATTGGCAATACAGAGGGACACGGAAAATAATCAGTCATAGAAGCGCAAATTGAGTTGATTCAAACCCAGAACTAAGCAGAAGTGATGCACATACCAAGGCAGTACTGAAAAGTCATTCAGAGCGTAGGGGGAGAGTAAACACTGACCAAGCAATGGCAGTGCAGGCAGCACTGAATTTGTGTGTGCGTGAGAGAAACAGAAGCAGTGATTGTCAAACATCAGCTCGTTGTTCAGCTGCTGCTGAAGGAGGTGAGGGAGACGGAGGAGGGGGAGAAGAGAAATCAAGAGTGTGCAAAACAGAAAAGACGTGTCCCCACACCTGTACAGAAAACAACTGAAAACAGCTATGCAGCAACAAAAGAGGGCTGCCGAGAAAATAAAGTGTGCCGGGTTTAAAGGGTTTAAGGGTTAAAGCTGAACTTAAGTTAGCAGGAAGAGAAGTGTGTGTGGTGGGAAGGTTACCTTCATTTCCCCTTGCCAGTTTTCCTCTGGCCCCATCTCTGAATTTAGTAGCTTCTATATACTGGCATAAAGCTACACAACAAATAAAAAAAAAATAGAATTAAAAGCCTGCTTCTTAATGGGTAGCGCATCACTTCTTATGTTGTGTTAGCAGATCACGCAGCTGAGAACAAGCTGCACACTCGGAGGACATTATCGCGTCTGGGGACAGGTGGGTATGTTAATTCAAGCCAACTGGTGGGGATATGACACTAGGATGCTGTGTTTCGCTGTGTCTTTACGGGATCATGCAAATCCATACTGCTGCAACAACAGGGATCCACAACAACCAAGTTAGCAGCAGCACTCTCAGCCAAACACTACCCTTAACTAACATGCACACACTGACAAAGTTAGTCTACTACTGTCTAACTGTTGAAATCTTTACCAAGTACATCCATGTCTGGTTTCCCAGACATAGATTATTAAAGGCCTCCGCTTAAAAAAAAATAAAGTGGGCTAGGGTTAATCCATGTCTGGGAAACTGAGCCATACAGTATTAAACTTTTATTCATGAGTACTCTCAGCAGAAAGGTGTAGCATTTTTCTTTTTTTCCACAAATGTAAGAATAAGGCTGTCAATTACTAACAATTAAAAAATGTAGCAAGTGTTATCTCTGTGGCCGGATACAAAGAATAAATAACCACAATAATGAGTCACAGCTTTGAAGTGGGTGAAACATTCATCATTAGCATTACACAGTCCACATACATTGCACTCAGTACTCACCGAGCACAGTGAATGTGGATTAATACAAACCTCCAAATACTTCCTAACAAAGACCCTCTGAAGTCCTTTTGGAAATTATTTCCATATGTGTGATCCGCTCTAAAACATATTCAATTTCATGCAGGAAAACATGTCATGGTTTGGCAAAATGCGCCGATGTTTAGATGCTATCAGCAAAGAGTCATGGGTTAGATTACAATGAATGAGCGCCCTTGTTTTGCAGCTCCGCAGCTCAGTTTAGATTTTTATATTTTACACGCACACAAAAAAAAAAAAGACCCTCTGCAGTCCTTCCAGCCAGTTATCATTTCTGTCTTTCTCATGCATTGCATTGAATAAACATCAATGAGAGCAAATTTGAGCAGCATGTCAAACCCAAAACATGCCACTGACTGTTTTCTAGCGACATCACCTTCAAAATAAAGCTTTTTTCAGGCTACTGTGACCTGTGAGATCCATGAAAATCAGTTTACACAGCTTTTATAAAATGACTCAGTAATGACACGTGCACACAGACAAGAAACGATCGCTTTCTCAAGTCTGGAGGATTGCATTAATTCGCTCTGTTGCACTTTGCACTTTGCACTTGCAACTTTTTGAAAATGATGGATTAAAGTTATATCAATAGGAAACATCAGATGGCAAAAGTATCCGCTGGATTCAAAAGTCTCATCCTTTTTAAATCGGACATTAATAAAAGTGTTGACTGACGCGACAAACAGGTTCACATTAGAGTCCTCAGTACAGACACACAGATCCTGGCAAGGGAATAAAAGTCTTACGGATTAAGTGCTTTAATCTCTTGGTTACTTTCATATCCAAACAGCCCACGAGGAAGAAACTAGGCCAGGAACACATCTCAGACTACAAAAACCCCAGCAACTGAAGGCAGTAAGATTATTAATTAAAAATAATTACATATGGTGATAATTCATAACAACCTTATGTAAAGCACTTAGGTGTCATTTGATTTTCCTTAAGCAAATGTAAAATGCAGCACAACTGATGCAAAATGGCATCTGCTACTCATGAGGATGTAATGTAGGTCAAACTCAACGACAGAACGCAGACACAGACATGGAGCACGAGGAATTCAAGCTGATTGTTAACCCGTTCAGTAGTACAACAAACATCTGGAAGCATCTGGCTGTGCAGCAAATAAGAGATGGCATGTTCTTTTAATTTAAATAACAAAATCAACTTAAAAACAAACACCTGGCTCTTAAGCTACTACAGAAAAGTTTGTTGATTGTGAAACTCATGAGCACAGATGAGCAACGCCTTATAGGAAGCCACAACAAAACACTGCAGAGGTGTGTAAAATAAAGCAGGCATAACAGTCTTTCCCAAAGAAAACACATATGAGGGTCTAACGTTTCATTTGCAAAAACATGCAAAGCTTTTACTAAATAAAGGTGGCTTTGAATGGAGAGTAATGTTACTCAGATTAAATTCCAAGAAGTAAAAGTTAACCCTGTGAGTTCTAAGTTATCCCTACTTTTGACTCTAAAAGGGGCGTCCACACAGCAAGCGATGCACTCATTGCTCATCACTTTGTCATTGATGATCAGTCATTAGTGCACATTCTAGGCTCCAGTTGCCTAGGTAACCCTCAAATGTAATTACCACCCTGTCGTAAGTCAATATGCAGTATCCTGCACTTTCACTAGTAGAACTTGAACTTCTCACATCGAATTTGATTAAACTTTAGTTCAGGTCCCGCTAGGGATGGGTATTGATAAGATTTTCACGATTCCGATTCCGTTTTCGATTCTGTTTAACGATTCGATTCTTTATCGATTCTCTTATCGATTATCTTTTTTTAAAAAAAAGGAGAACACTAAGGTCAATTAGCTTAGATCTTTGTTTTATATCTTCTCTTTGAACAAGATAGAAATTTAGGAGTAACATGGCCTTACAAACCCAACAGTGAGATCTTAACAGATCCAACCTACGGCTCTTCAATGGGGTGTCACAGGGTCC